GCGTCCGAGTTGGCCGGTCGCTGCCCGTGCCCGCCAAAGGACACCGCGCTTCCGGCGGTCGAAATCCATGGCCTGGGACGGTGGCAAGGACAGTGTGGGGGGTTGGGCGATGGGCGGGACAACGGTGCAAATGGCAAGTGCAAACTTCAAGACTCATCCACCCAAACGTACAATCGTTCGACAGACTTTTTTCGACCGCGGCTCTTTCAAGATGCTCTGATGTGTCCAGGCGTATGAAATTCTGCAGACTGCAAACCCTTAATCTTGGTTCGGTGACATTGGAATGATTTGTTCAGTGAAAATGTTTCTTTGTTGGCCCAACCATTGTTGCAGTCCCGAGTCAATGCCCAAACACATTTGTTCTACGCCAAAACCTCCACGCATTTGCACGCGTTTCCTGCACCATGCAACATGCTTATTATGTCAGCAAAATATGTAGGGTGGTTAGTAGCAGAAGTATCACTATCACTGGTAAGGTGCATGGGAACGTGCCACAAGAAAAGACACCATGCGTCTCAACCACTGCAAGCAGCACTGCGCTATGCACACGGGCGTGCGCCCCCCATCGCAAACTGGCAGCCAGTTTGCAACCCAGACACGCAAGCGTGCAAACAGTTTCTGCGTCTAAGCAGCAGCGCTTTACAAATGATCGCTGTAAGGCCCCATGTCAGGCCAGTCCGGAATACTCTAAAAAGGCCTCAAGCTCTTGCTGAGCAGCCAGCTTGAGCTGGGCAGCCATTTGTTGAATTTCGGGATGCTTGGAGATCTGCTTCACGGAACTTTCGCTTCGCTTGAGAACGTCATCCACAAAGCGTGCCTCGGAAGCACACAAATTGCTGTAAGCTCAGGCAGTTGCAATCGTGTTTGTTCGCTATACACATTCCAGAAACTGATGTTGATTTCACACACACACACACACACACGCGCGCATGCAAAACACGTCCAGTAAAACAACCAAACGGAATCGCCACCAAGCGACTAGAATTTCTGCTCCTTTTAAGGATGCGCCCATGCAAATCTCCCAGGGGTCTTCAGGGTGAAGCTTGCACCGAAAATAGGCAAAGTCCTTGCCCTCTCTTTTGGATGTGACACCCGCGGCGGAGCGTTTCCAGTACTTGTTCAACCTGCACCCCGTGTACCTCCCAACAGAGGCGCACATTTCTGCCTTAGCGTCCACCTTCTTCAAACCCCGAAACTTTTTCATGTACTCCCGAATCTCCGCGCGCTGGGCTTGAGCATCGGTTGGGGCTGGCTTGTTGTCTGTCACGGCCTTGCATGCTTTGCTGGTTCTCTTTCCTTTTGCCGCTGGCGCTTGCTCAGCCTTCGCTGTGCCCGCCGCAGCTGCCTTTTTTCTCCCCTTGCCCTTCGTTGTTTCTGCTGCTGCCTGCTTGGGAAGGGGCTTTGAGTCCTGCTCTGTCGTGTCGGTGGCTTTTCTTTTTCGTTTTGTTGAGCTTCCCCCATCCAGTTTTGTCTCATTCTGGGCCCCAGTTTTGGGTTTCTTTCGTCGGTTGGAGTCCTGCTCCTCCTCCGCCTTGCGCTGACTTGCATCGCGCGTGCGCGCCTTTGTCTCCTTTGCCTTGCCTGCTTTTGAGCTGCCACTTGCCGGTTGCGCTGTGGAACTTGCTGATTCTGGATGGCTGTCAGGCAGGCGCTGGGTGCTGACCTTCATGTCCCAATATGCCGCGCTATCCCACGCCCATGTTTCATCACCCCCCCACCAAGTCTCCTGCCATCCCGCGTCGGTGCCAAAGGCCCCCCAAACAGTCCAATCCTCTGCCTTGGAGTTTTGTTGCTCCTTCTGCTTCTGCTTTCGTGCTTTGTCTGCGCTGTGTCCCTGTTCGTCTGTCTTGGTGGTGGAGCTGCTGCGGTTTCCCCTGCTCTGCCCCCTTCCACTGCCACGCCCCCTTCCCCTGCCGCCACCTCTCCCAGCTGCGCCTGTTTTGCTGGGCTGGTCTGCCTCGTTTGGCTGGCCTTTCTTTTTTCTGCTGCTGCTTTTTGCAAGTAGTTGCTCTTCTCTGGTCACAGGCGGTGGCGCTGCAGGCTCCTGCACAAATTAATATCACAGCAGAGTGTTAGTGCTAGCAAAATGCGACTGCCCCCAATCCCAGGCTCACGCGAAACCAAGCCCAGCGTCCCCCGGCCTCAGCGTCACTAGGAGTAAAGTCTGGCGGCGCGGTCTGCTTGCTCTTTCGCGTTTTGGCTTTCTTCTTTGGAGAGGGCTCTGTGTGTGGCTGCGTGTCGGGGAGTGTGTCTGGTGGCTTCCGGTCCGGCTGCAGGTCTGTCTGCCGAGAGTCAAGTATCATGGTCTCGTCCTGCAACTCCTTCCCCACCCTTGTTTGGTAGCTGGCGCGCTTTTGTTCGGAAGACTTGTGTGGTGAGGGGGTGCTTGCAGGCGGTTCTGTTGGACATGTAGCCTTGTCCAAGTCGATCGGCAGCGTCTCCAGGTTGTCTGTCAGCCCAACTGCACCTGCGCGAGAAAAACGCTCTGCGAGCCAGCGGTCTGCAACAGAGAGCGTTTGGGACCGTTCTTGGTAAAAGAAAATAAGCGCGCCCAATCTCGACCCATTGAACGCCCCTTCACACGCTGTTGCGCCTTCCGTGTTTTCTGATGAAGTCTCTGGGGAAGCCGAGGGGCCACTCGCCGTGGCATTCGCAGATTCCCTCATCCTAAGCAATGCACATCAAATGCTGATGATCTAAAAACAGCATTGCAACAGAACCCCTCAGCGACAAAATTGTTCTGATGTTCTTCACTTGCACGCAAATCGGTGGCTCGTAAACATATATACTGGTGCGAGCAAAGCACGTAGCCAACTTGGCAAGCAAGGCCTGCTTGCGCTGCAGCAGATCTTCCTTACCTGAGCAAACGGGACCCTGGAAAACACACGCAACGCACGCTCTCCAGTTTAGAATTTATATGAGACACTGGGTCGACCCTCAGAAGCTGGTGCCGGAGAAGAGCTTGGAGCGCTGGGTGCGTCAGGTTTGTTTGCCTCGTCCAACTTGAGTCTTGCGCCACCCCCCAAAGGCTGTTCCACCTGATCACCCTGCTGAAGCTGGTCACCCTGGTCACCCTGACTGCTTGTGTTGTTGGTGTCGGTCGCGGTGGATCGGTGCTGGTCGATGCTCAACGCCTCTTCGTGGCTGGCGGATGGAAACGGTGTCTCTGGTTCCTCAGTCAGGTCTGTTGCTGCAGCGGTTGTTTGCGAGTTCTGTAAGTTCTCTTTCACCGGAGTTGCTTTATCATCACTTGCGATGCCTGGCGCCCCCTTTGTCTGGTCTGTGGTCTGGGGCATGTGCTGCTGAGGTGGGGTTGTGTCTCCCGCATGCTTCTCGGTTTCAAGCACTTCATCATGTTCCGAATCTTCCTCTTCTCCTTCCTCCCCACCCTCACCCTTCTCAGGTTCCCAGGCATCCTCATCCTGAGGCTCCTGAGGGATATACTCATCCACGCAAGGCATACTACCAGCTTGGCACAGGTATCAACATGCACATGCAGTTTGTTGAAGCGTGAAGGGTAAAGGTCATGCAGGTACAAATATCCCACGTCAGTCCTCGCTTGTCCGCTTAGTGCACTTGCGCTCGGCCACGCGGCGGTTCACTTCGTCCACGGTGTCCTGAACAACGCAGGTTTCAATCAGCGGGGGTTACAATTGCAAATGGGGATATAATGGGCATCTTGCAACCGCTGCAAAACCACAGGGTCACCGGAAAAAAATGCGGGTATTTGCCCGGCCTGCAGCCCGCCATCAAGTTCCAAGACGAGATTTTGAAAATCCACTACCTGGGGCGAAGGGCAGCTGGTTGACAAAGGGGATTAAACAAAACTTACTAGCTAATAGGGTTATAAAGACGATGAACTGCAACACAAGCACCCTGCTTTTATGGCAAGTTGCAGTGCTCACTTCTTTCCGGCGGGCTTTCATCTTGATGAACCCCAAGAGTTTTCTGATGGACCACGCAACGCGGACAACCTCAAGGCCGTCTTGCTTACCCCGTTTGCTTTTCTCATAAATTGATTCCACTTCCTCTCTGAGAGGCTCGATTGCCGGGACGGGCCGTGACCGCAACAGGCTCATGCGTGTGAGAAAGGGCTGTAGCAAGTCCTTATTGTGCACACAAGTTGGGATGTCTTCACCTGGTGCTGACTTGGGGTGAAGTAAAGGCCCGCCGTTGCGCAGTCTGTCCCTTAAGTCCTGGATAGCATCCCACTCATCGGCAACGTTGCCGATGCCGAGGTTCTCCCGTGGTTGTATCGGTCGCCCCTTTCGATACATGGCGCCCGTCCACAAATCAAAAGCCAAATGACTACAGTGAATGAAATGGGTTTCGCTTTGCTGCAAATGCCGTGAATTTCCTGCCCACTGCCGCGCGCATGCAGGACTTGGTGCCCTGCGCGCTGGTGAGCTCCGCGAACTCCACGGAGAAAAAGCTGCCATCGGCGCAGGGAATTCTCCAAGCATTGTTTTTGGCAATGTTGCCTTCATGTTTTGCATCTTCCCAAGTTCGGGCCATATGAAGCTCCATAAACTTGAAGTGACAAAATATAAAATGATCGAGCTTTCCTAGCAGGTTCTCCTTCGTGATGCATAGATCGAGATTGGAGAGAATATCTACATGCATCTTTGTTTCTGAGTGTTTCAACTGTTGACAAAGTATAACAACATCTCATAACAGAGGTGCATCCACCCCTGAGTGCCCCAAGATCTCGAACCTGCCTGGGCCGGGGCGTGGGCGGATGGGCGACGGTATGCATCCCACGAAATACCCGGGGTTTTGGTGTGAAACCCGATGTTTTTGTGGGGGCACACCAATACCTGATGTTTCAAAAACGAACCGTTCTTTTTAACAGGTTCTGTTGTGCAGGGTATATACATAGACACATATTTAAAAATTTGTAAATGTACATATATAAATATATATATATATATGTATATATGTATAACAACCCAGCAGAGTGGAGCGTTCCGATTTCCGTGAGCGTTCCGATCCGTGGCCAGGGGACGAAGGCTTCCTGTCCTCCTTCCCCATGCGGCCGCAGCCGCTGTTCCCCATCTCCCTGCCCCGCGGCTTGCCGGATGGGGCCCTCACGCTGCAGCGCAAGAAGCAGCTGGTGAGGAAGATGGAGATGAAGGCGAGCGCTCGAGCGATCGGTGCGAGAGACCCTTCCAAAAATTAACTCAACCCACCGAGAAAAAGAAAGGAAAGGCCCTTTTGTTGCCCTGGCCATTGGGCATCTGAGGAGATGTGGGAATGAGAAATGGAATGACCCCGAAGTAAACCATCCCACTGGTGGTTTCCTTTAAGGGGACCCTGGGTTGGTGCGAGAGATGTAGGGAGCAGGAGATTCTGGAGGAAAACAGCTGATTTGTTGGATTTTCCTGTGCCCAAACCCTTTGAAGCAGGGAATGAGAGTTATGGAATGACCCCGAACTAAACCATCCCTTACCGGTGTTTTCCTTTCAGGGGACCCCGAAACGGTTCATTCCCTCCTTCCCTGCTGAGCACCAGCAAAACCAGAGGAGCCGCAAAGATCAGTTGGACATCCTTAGTGCTAGTAACAATCCACCAAGTGTGAGTTGGGCATTCCCTTGGTTTGGTGGGAACCCAAAAGCAAAACCGAATGCCTGCACCCACCCCTTTTTTGAGGGTCATGGACTCATGGAGACGCCAGGTATGTCTCAGAATCGTAGACCCCAATTGTTTGGTTTCTTGAATGGCTTCTCTTTGGACGCCACCAAAGGCACGCCCAAATCATTTCTGGAGCTGTCCGGCGGAGTCCGTGTGCAAGTGGGCTTGTCTCCAAATTCAGAATTTATTTTGGATGAGTTGACGGGTGCTTTGAAATCAGATTAAGTTACAATCATAAGAACATTATGCGCGCGACTATGCGGGCGCGGTACCTTGGGACATTTGAATTTGGGGAGAAGCATGCCCACCACTTGGGAGGTCTTGCATTTGCTCAAGATGTTTATTCTTATTAGTATTATTCATTATTATTATTTTCAGCTGTTGGTTTTAAAGGGCATTTTGTTTTACACTCCTATCAATATGTTTTGTTTATTTTTCTTCAGGGCGCTCTAAAAAAGGCAACTGGAAGGAGGTGGTACCGTTTCAGAATGGGCTCATGACCCCTTTATTTTTTGGGTAATGACTATAGCTTTAAGGGTCAGAAGGAGAGTTCAGGTAGTGAGAATATTCTAGGGGTAACTTTTCCATTCTTTCCAGTGATCCTTCTTTCTAGAAAATCACCAAACACCCGGGGAAAACGGATCCGGTTTTCGAAAAGCACGATGGCCGAAAAGAATGGACAAGGAATCAACCCCCTAGATAGACACATCTGATTCCGTGGTTTTATTCGGTATCTTTGCTTTGTGGCGTTCTAAAGACCATCTCTAGAAAAAACAAAGAAGTAAAAGGCACTTGGTGGTGGTTTGCTAGAAAGAAGGATCCCTGGAAATGGTTGGAATCAATCCCCCAGAGGGTCCAAGTACCTCCTGAGGATGGCTTTTGGGGGGTAAAAAGGGGTCTACCTTAGGTACCAAGGACCCTCTGGGATTAGAATAGTCTATATTTTCCCTTGTTGGGTTTAAAGGGAATCGATTTCACTACTGGAAATATGTGTTTTTTTTTTCTCCAGGGGGCTTTCGCAACCCCTAGAAATATGGCCATGTCGAAGTCTTCAGGGTGAGGCGCTGAAAGTCTACGACCTCAAGCGACGCTTGGGCTTGCCCAGCCGCCGACTCCGGGCCTACTGCGGCTCGGCTTGCGAAGTCCGGCGGTTTTTCGGGTGGGGCGAGTGGATCCACGTGGATTTTTTTAGGAGGGTGCCCTGTGTTTTGGTGGGTTCTTGGTGGTTTTGCCATGTCGTTTTTTGGAGGGTGCCCTGATTTTGGCGGGTGCTTGGTGGTTTTGCCCTACCCAGTTTCGGGGGAAATGAAGGGCCCCTTCGTGCTTTTCTTGAGGGTACCCTGTTTGGATGGTTGTAAAGGGAAACTGCAACCAACCACACACTCACACACACACACACATGTTTTGTTTTCCGGGTGCCCGGTTTTTGGTTGGTGGTGGGTGGCCTTTTGCCCGACCCGGTTTTGGGGAAATGAAGGGCCCCTTCGTGTCTTTTTTTGGGGGTGCCCTGTTTGGATGGCTTTAAGGAGAAACCACACGGAAGCCAACTACCTGAAGGAATTGGTTCCTAAGTTTGAGAAACACCCAAATAGTGCCAAGGGCACACGGAGCGGCCCTTCATCTCCCGAAAACCGGGTCGGGCAACAGGACACCCACCTAAACAAAAAGACAAATGTGTGTGTGTGTGTGTGTGTGTGAGTGTGTGCATAAATCCGCAGCCAAACAATTAGAAATCAATCCACGCGGTGTTGTTCCCAAATAAAAGCAGGTCCCCCAAGCTTGGGAAACGATTCTGGGGCAGAGTGCAGCGACCACAAACTGCCAAGGATAAATCACCGTGTTTTCTCAACCTGAGGAACCAATGTCAACAGCCGTATGTTTTGATGTGCAAAGCCAGTGGAGCCTTTGACATGCACCAAGCTTCTGACCGCATAAGCTACGACCAACACAACACAAAAGGATCAGTCACAAACCAAGCAAACAAACCAAGACAAACAAACCAAAACAACCAATCAAACCAAAACAAACAATCAAAACAAACAAACAAACAACCATGAATGAACCAAACAAACCAATCATCAGTAAAACATATCTTTGGGTATACGGGTAGGTCTTTTTGGAGGGCACCCGGTAAGGGAAACCGCCAGGAACACCACCATTTCTCTGGTTTTCGGGGGTTCGGGACCCATAGTTTTAAAAGACCCCCCCCATATAGTTATATCTATTTTTTGGGAGGGGGGTCCTATTTTTTGACGACCCCCCCATATATGTCTGTTGATTTTTGTTTGGGGTTCCCATATTTTTGCAAGACCCCTCCCCCATATATTTCCGTTTTCATGCCACGCCGGCAACGTGGGCATATGTTCGCCCCCGAGGCAACGTGAGCATCTTCCACGCGGCCTTCCACGACGGCAAGGCGGGCAGCAAGGCCCGGATCCTCGCCTACCCCGAGGACTGCTGCCCCAAGCTCCTGGGCATCGCCCAGGCGGTGCTGGCCTCGGAGCAGAAGGCCCGGGACCCTTCGGCGCGAATCGGCGCGAATCAGGGTCCGCGCGAGTCGGCGCGGGCGGCCGAAGCGGCGGTTTGTTTTTTTGGGGTTTGGGGGGGGGGGGGGGTTGGAGCATGTTGAGATCTTCTTGGTGGTGAACGCGGCTTTATGGACTTGAGGCCATATTTGTTTGGGTTGGAGCATTTGGATCTTTTCGGTGGCAAACGTGACTTGTTGGACTTGAGGCGATACTTGTTTGGGTTGGAGCATGTTGTTTTTTTGGTGGTAAACGCGACTTGTTTGACTTGAGGCGGTTTTGTTTGGGTTTGAGCATGTTGATCTTTTGGGTTGTAAACGCGACTTGTTTGACTTGAGGCGATGTTTGTTTGGGTTTGAGCATTTTGAGATATTTTGGGTTGTAAACGCGACTTGTTGGACTTGAGGCGATGTTTGTTTGCGTTGGAGCATTTTGAGATCTTTTTGGTGGTAAACGTGCCTTGTTGGACTTGAGGCGATTTGTGTTTGGGTTGGAGCATGTTGATCGCATGGTGGTAAAGAGGGCATAGAGGCCTTGGCGATTTTATGCAGTTCTGATCCTGGGACTTCCATATGAGTGGTTTGGGCTTTCGAAAGGCTTGCGGAGTCGGACTTGATGCAATTTCTTTGGGGGTTGGAACATGTTGATCCATTGTTGGTAGTACACAAGAAGCTGGGGCTACTTGTTTTCACTCTTTTTGCGGCCATCCACTGAGGGAGGGAATGGTTGCGACTGGTTGTTGCGGAATATGTCTGGAATGACATCTATGACGCAATTACATGTTCTTCTTGGCTTTAGGACTGGGAACGGAAGAACTGGACCTATGAGCAACTTGTGGCGTACACAATGTGCACAGCGCTCTGAGTTCTCACTCCACGGGATCAGGCTGGTTTAGGTGTCTGCTTTATATGTCACCGACATACTGTCGATGGACGAAATCCTGCACCACTTTGAAACCATAGGAAGGTATCGTTTGTTGGTATTTACAGGGGGCTCATCATTGCAGGGTTTCTTAGGTGGTGCAGGATTTCGTCCATCAACAGTATTGCACAGGTACCTCAAACACTTTTGAACCAACTTTCGAACGAGCTGTGGAATACTGTGACTTTCAATCGGCCTGCTGTGCGCTTTTAGTTTTTGGAGAAGGGTCATTCGCGACTTGAGAACTAGATTGTTATTCCAGAGCCCCCGCATGACCTACCCAACGTATTTCAGGGGACCCATCTCAGAAGGAGTTCTCGCTCCGGATGGGCACACCCCATACAACCAGCTGAACCTAAAGTCCTCAATTTGCTGGTGCTCAGTAGGGAATGTGGGAATGAACCTTTTCGGGGTCCCCTTAAAGGAAACCACCAGTTGGAGTTGTTTTTTTTGTCTCCTCTCGCACCAGCAAAGAATTCTCGGTCCAGGGCAGAGTTTTTATGCAAGCTGAAGCAGTCCAGGCGGTGATCATGATCGGCCGCACCTCGGGATATGTGGTGATGCTGGAGCTGATGAAACACCTGGCCAGCCAGGCCGACCCGCCGGTGGGCGTCGCCACCATGCGCCTAGCCGAGCAGAGAAAAATATGGGATCTTTTGGTTTTGGCCGCATCTGAAGTCAGGTTCCCCTGAATGGGCGGCTTGTCGTTTGGATTTGAAGCCCTGCTTCGTGAGGATTCATGGGAAGCTACCCCCTACCCTCAAACGATCCAAACCTCCAACTAGAGAGCGAATGAAGGTTCACTAAGTAACCGAGTTCATTTGGTCTTGCCACCCGGCGAGATGTCAATGAGTGAAAATTGGTATCTTCTACCAGCCAGTTGGTTCAACAGTGTGTCTCAAATGGCCTTGGAGTTTGGTGAGGTGAGCCTTGTTTCCTGACAGGAATCGGCTGTGCTTGTGAGTGCCCAACTGATTTGGATTGGGTGTGGGGCTTCAATGGTGTGGCCTGGATTCTCCTTTGAGGCTAGTTGTTCAAGTAAATGTTTGCAGCTTCGCTAATATTTGTTTTCTGTCTTTGGTGACGAGCACAGGAGTTGCATTCTAACTTGGCGTACGATGTTGCGCTTGTCTTGCCTATGACGTCCACTCAATTGGGTGTCCTGCACACCATCCTGAGCAATGCTCAAAAATCAAAGGATGGAGGGCAAAGTGAGTCAACAGCTGACAGTGGTAGCAATCAGTGTTGGTTCTCATTAGCCGGAACGGAACCGCTACAGGCTACTTTTCATGGTGGTTGATGCTTGTTGGTTTCGCTTGTTTGGAAGGAGCCACTCGTTACAAGCACAAGCTTCCAAGCTGCGTGTTGGCCAAGGAATGAGCTCTCCGAGTTCAACCACTGCTCCAATATCCGTGGCGAGGATGGGGACATTGCGATTTTCACAAGCGCATTGCGATGAATGAGGGGCGCATTGCGATGAATGGGGGGCATCGGAGAAGGAATCCTACACTTGCACAATTGTCTTGGAAATGGCCCCAGTCCTTCCCTTCAGGGACGCTCTTAAGATGCAAGCAATAATTATGAGACCAGCCACTTGGACACGCTCAAACGCATGCACACGCACGAACCGAGTCACAGAGCCACAAGGCTGCGAGATGAGCAACCTGGAGTTGCTAAGCAGAAAGAAGCGAAGTGAGAGCATACAGCTTCTCAGGCTTGGCATCGGATTCTTAGAAGCCTCTTTTTGGATCACACGACCCTTTCCAGCAGCCTTCCTGAACCCCGGAAGTTCCTTTAAACAGGACGCTGCTTCATGTACGTTTCTTGAAAATTAGTTTTATCCACATGGATTATGCAAACGTGATGTAAATTCATTCAGTCTTTGCTACTCGTAGACTAATGGGTGTGTGTGTGTGTGGTGTCTTAATGAATGTTTGTATTTCACCCAGAGGCCAAACCCGAAGACAAATTGGACGGCAATCAGCAACGGTTTCAGCTCCATCTTCACATCCGGATATCTCGACTTAACTTCTCCAGCAAAGGCAGAGGATGCCGGGATGCCCTACCAAGCAATCCATCCCGAACAAGCATCACTTCTGTTTGGCGAGTTGTGCCGGGTGGAACTTACGGACGCCGCCCTCAGCGAGTTGAGAACATGAAGTTCGTGAAACAAGCACGATGTTTACATGTGACCGGGACACTTGTGACACTTGTGACTGGGAGTGCACTGCTTATGTTGCAGCTCTCTAATATGCTTGTCTCCATGACCCCTTTTCAAAAAGGGTTCATGACACAACAAGAAGAGGTCATGGCCGAATTTGATTCGGGTCATGGATCTTCAGGTAGGTATTGATACCTCTGGCCTGTTTGGAGCTAGCGACTTCCCTAGCCCGAGTTTCGATCCGGCCAGATCTACCGAGTGCTGGTGGCTGACTCCCTGCAGCTTGGCCTGGACTTTAAACTGAGAACTTGCGGATGTCCCCGATTGTTTGGGCAGCAACCCATCGAGCAGCAAGAAGTGAACGGCTTTTTGGGCACTTTTGAAGTGGCACTTCAATCGCCCTGCCGAGCAGCGACACACTAATCTAGTGGAACCCTCCCCATTCTCTTCAGGGATCCTTCTCTTCAAAAAGTGGGCCACACACCTGGAAAGAAGGTGGTTTCTAAAGAGAAGGATGGGTGAAGAGAATGGGGAATCAAACCTTAGAACCAATGAAACTGATCAGCTTATATCAACACAGTCGTGAACATGACAAAGCCATCAATAGCTTCAATCGCCTCTTGGGAATTGCAGCGCCCAGACCCGCGAAAAGTTTTCACTGATCTTGCGGCAGGGGGCCATGGCGGGGGAGTTTCTGAGAAATGGGGCACTGAATGAATCACAAGTCAGACCCGGCCTGGGTGAAAGCCCCAAGCAGCCTGCTGAGCCCCGCAAATTCGCGTGTCATAGGAGTGTCTCCGGGGAATTGGCATAAATACTGTGTGGATGGACGAAATCCTGCACCACTTTGAAACCATGGGAGACCATTGTTTGTTGGGATTTGCAGAGGAAACATCAGATATGACGGTTTCTCAGGTGCTGCGAAATGGATTTCGTCCATCCGGTATCAACCTATCTGATTGTTTCCCGTTTTGGCCAATTTTTAGTCATGACCCCAAAAGGTTAACCTTTTGTTTCTGGGTCCTTTGGGCAAGTGGGGATTTCCTGTATAATGTTGCTTACTTTCTCAGAACCGTACAAGACTTGTGAAAGCAAAACAAGTGAAACTAGGATCTCCTGCACAGTGCCGCTTCTTTCTTTTTTTTCGCCTGGTTCAATCATTTTCCCGGCAGGCAGTGCTCCGAGGGGGTGTCCTTTTTGTCGGTGCGGCGCACCTTCTTGGCCGACGTCCCCGTTGCGCCCAGCGGCTTCATCCAGCAAACTGGCCGCGCCATCCGCATGCTCCCAAGCAGAAAAATCACGGTGGGGGGGGGCGGGGGGGGGGGGTGAAGCTGAGGTCAAAACCCGGGTACATGAAGGTTAGCAAGGGGCAGTCCCAGCCAGAAATAGTTGCGAATACCCGCCTTCTTAATTCTTGAAGCATGGTTCTGGGTAGACCATTTTACTACCGCGTTTTGATTGTGACTCACCTGGCTGTGTCAAAGTTTCCGGACTTCACATGTTTGGGATGGAACACATTCTTAGTGGTAAAATCCAAGTTTGGGCTATTGTTCGATCCACTCGATCGGAAGTGAGGGTACCTTGCAGCGTCCAACGGGGAACCCACCACAATTTGGTGTCGCCCTATTTTGACACACCATGGGTGCCCCAGTAGTGCCCTTTTATCCTCCCCTACTAAAACAGACAGAAAACCGTTGGTACCCTTATTCTAACCTCTCTACTGGAAGACCTTGCTCACCTGTCCCAGTGAACTTTCTTCCCGTGAAGTGCCAACTTCTCATTTCTTCGTACCAAACAGCCCTTGCCCGGGTCCACCGAACGGGGTTTGGGCACGAGCTGAATGAGCAGGGGTTATCTACTTCACCGCAAAACAACCGAGGTGGTCGTGTCTTCGTTTCGCGATCAGCTTATTTTGAACTCGCTTTGAGCAAGGGTTTATGTTTCAGGCTGGCTTTCCCTTGCTTTTCCGGCTGGTGTGTGTGGTTGGTTCAAAGGGAGAAAAAATGAACAGCCGGCTTTTTGGGAAACTCCCTATTTTGAGAAAGACGTATATATGTCTGGGGTATACCATTCCAGATGGAACACAGAAGGACCCTGTTTACACGTTGATTCCCCAGTCTTTTCACCCTTGTCTCGGGAAACAACATTCACCTGCCTGAAACTCAGGATCCCTGAAAGAATGGGTGAAACTTAGCTTTTTGGATGTCATCTTGTAGGCCGTTTCGGAATGAGGTCCTTTTCGGGTGACGTTAGATCCGGAAGCTTTCTTGAAAGCTGTCAGTTGGGAGCCCCTTTTGCGGACAGCTATGGGATCCCGGCAAAGAAAAAAGTCACGAGGGCTCCTCACTTTGGGGATTCCTTCTTTTCGGTCCCCCAGCGATCGGTGAACTTTTGCCGTTTCTTTTTTGGGGGGAGGGGAAACCCCCTACTAAAGTAGACAAACCAGGAAACAGTTGGTACCAACTTATTCTAAGCTCTCTACTGGAGGACCTAGCCTTATTTCCGGTTCTTTGCCATTTGCCATGTGTATTCAACATGAATTTATTTGCCCGAACTGGCCGGTTGGGTGTCAAGAGAGGCTGGCAGTTGAACACGCTTTGGATGTCCTGTTTCCAAGCAGTGGAAAAGGCATTGATTTGCTGGGCAAGGGCCGGGCTGGTTTCCATTTACTTCACCCATGCTTTTTTGCAGAAACTACACAGGTTCCCAGGAAAGTTTTTTTTGAAGAAACAGATCCTTGAAAGAAATGGGGAGGGTACTGCTGGAATATGAATAGTTGCCAAAACATGCCCACCCAAGTTCACAGCGGCACTCAATCAATTCTTGCGACGCGGCAGCGTCGACAACGGCATTGACTCGAAGGAAGACTGCCGGAAAAAAAGAAGCTGGTACCCTTATTCTAACCTCTCTACTGGAGGACTTAGTAGTATAGATCTGAGTTCCTTCCTCGTTGCTGTTGCCCCAGCTGCCCCTGTGAGCAAGGTACGGGCACAGAGGCTTGCCGGAGGAGGAGCCAGGGTCGCACTTGGGTTGCTCAGTTCACTTTTCTCGGTGTACATATTTTGGGGTGGGGTCCCACGGAAAAGCTGCTGGGGAAGTCTCTTATTGGTGTCCTGCGTTGCAGCTTTATCCAGCTGTAGTCCAACTCCAACCAAAGGAAATACCAGAACAGCTATCAATACACCCGTGTTTCCGGGAAACCGAATGGAGCCCAGGAGTAACAATCCTTGCTTAATGTGTCGCAGGATCGACAAATTAGATGAGTGTCCCAAAAGGATTTCAGTACCCTCCGATCCAACGTGGAACCCCACCAGCGTGTCTAGAAGATAGTTCCTAGCGTTCCATGAAAGAACGGTGGAAGGATGGTGCATGTTCACATTTCACTGCAGGTTCGGAGGTTTCAAGTTTCATTTTATACACACGCACACACAGATACACACACGCAGACACACACACACACACAAAGACACAAAGACACAAAGACACAAAGACACAAAGACACAAAGACACAAAAACACAAAGACACAACGACACAACGACACAACGACACAACGACACAACGACACAACGACACAACGACACAACGACACAACGACACAAAGACACAAAGACACAAAGACACAAAGACACAAAGACACAAAGACACAAAGACACAAAGACACAAAGACACAAAGACACAAAGACACAAAGACACAAAGACACAAAGGCACGAAGGCACAAAGGCACGAAGGCATAAAGACACACCCACACACCCACACACACACAGAAACACGCAAACACAATCACTCATGATTGGGGGATTCATTTGGGTTTCTCTCAAAATAGGCGTGTGCCAAAAATGGGGGAAGGGGTTCCCTTTGGTTTCGATTTAAAAAAAACAACTCCAAAAGGTGTGTTTTTCCCAAACAGCCGACCCCATCAATAAGTCCAAAGATTTCCTAGGTTCCCCAGTAGTGCCCTTTCTCCCCCTTTTTTGGTTGGGAGGGTTCCCCTACTAAAATCGCTAAAATAGACGTCCAGAAAAAAAACTGGTACCAACTTATTCTAAGCTCTCAAACCTGGAGGACCCAGTTAACGTTCGCATGCAAACAGGCCTTAAGGCGTGGGTCGTGGCGAACGTGCCCAGGGTCCCATGTCTGGAGCTGCAACAAATCCCCGAGACTTCTGTGAGGAGCAAACGGTGACTACGCAGCTCTTCGTGTCCATCTTGCCCAAGTGGATGCGGAGCAGCAGTTTGGCCTGTTGGGCGCTGAGGGCCCAGAAGAAGCACAGCAGCGCCCTGGCGAAATTTTGGGGGTGGGTGGAGGTGGGTTGAAGTGGGTTGAAGTGGGTGGACCTGGCTGGGTGGGTGGGTGGGTGGGTGGGTGGAAGTGGGTGGGCGGCAGAACCCCATCCTCTAACCAAGCCCTACAAAGCAAAGTAAGCCAACAGCTTCTATGCGTTCTTGCGCAGCTTTGCACATCGCCCTTGAGCGAGCAGGAGCGGATGTCCGCGTTTTCTCACACGTCTTCCTGGGTAACGTGTGTCCTAGCTCCACCTGCCCCGCGCTCCCCAAGTTGGACTGCCTCAGATTGATTCGAGTCCGAAGCCATTCGTGCTGCTGGCACATCTTTGGCAGCTGATTGCCCTTGGCATCAAAGTGTCTTTTCATCCCTGCCAGCAGTTGCAAGTGTCTTTCTTTCAGCTGAAGGATCCGGCCCTAGGATAATTACTCTCTATGACTTAGCTTGAATCAAGGACTCAGCACCGTTTGTACAAATTGCGACAGTGTGCACACTAACCAGGTCAGCCAAGTGTTGTGGGTCCCGTTTCTCGTCCAAGTCCCACATCTCATGCAAAACCTTGCTAGTGCTCAGTAGGGAATGAGGGAATGGCCCTTAGTTCATTCCTGGAATGAACCTGGGGATTCCCTTAAAAGAAACCACCAGTTGGATGGTCTATGTGTCTATGTGTTTCATTCCATTTCTCGTTCCCCGCATCTCTCGCAGCAAGAAGAACCGGGGGCATATCTCGCTTCTTGAGTTCATCAAACTTTTTGGGTCTGGACCATTTTAGTGGCAAATCTAAAAAGTTTGGATTTGTTTGGGCCATCCACTCCTTGCCAGTGAGAGATCACCCGAACCGCACCGAAGCCATTCACCGGATCCGACTCTGAATCCGAGGCGGCAAGGAGGTGGAGAAGAGGGCACGGATTCTGACCGCGCGCATGAATCGGGCCGGCATCAGCAGCTTAGAGGAAGGGCAATTACCATTGTGTTTTTCTTTTTTTTCTCGGAGGGGCGGGGGGGGGGGGTGTTTGTAAGGGAAGTTACATGTGTTTTTTTGCAGGTAGGGGCCACAAACAGGTAGGGGCCATGTTTTTTTTTTGGGGGGAGGGCGTCTCTGGGGGTTGCCATAGGTAGTCCTTTTCAAGTGAAGTGACATTTTTTGGGCAGGTAGGGGGCCAGAGGTGTCCAGGGAAGTCACCTGTTTGCAGGTGGGGGGGCTTACCATAGGCGTCCTTTGCAATTCGGTGAGTTTGGACGAAAATTGATGGACTCCGGTGAGTTTGGTCGAAAATAGATGGACTCCCCCTGGTCTCAGTGGATTTTCATTTACCAGCGCCATGGAATTTTCTTCGAACGGAATGCCTATGGTGACGGTTCGCCTTGAGGCCTTACATTCGGAGCGACTTCCACCAGTTTGCGCCCTTTCTGGAACCAGATAACAGGCTTCACGCCCCAAACAAACCGTTTCCAATCAATTGCCAAACCCCCAAAGGAGGGTCACCCAGGTAGAAAACGATGGTCAACTCCCAAAAAACACTGCTTAGAAACGAATGGCCAACCCAAAGAAGGGTGCTTGTCTCAAAATAGGGATTTGGACCACCTTCGGCTTGTTTCCTTTTGGTTTCCCAATAGAAACCAACCCCAGAAAGGATGTACTCGTCTTTTTGCTCAGGGGATGCAAAAAGGTATCCCCTTTGTTTTGGTGTTTTTTGAAGACATCAGGAAAACCGCGAGGCATTTTCTTGCCGGTGCGATAGCTAGGAAATGTGGGAATGAACCGTTTCGGGGTTTCCCTTACAGGAAACCACCAGTTGGATGGTTTGTCAGGGTCATTCCGATTCTCATTCCCTGATCTCTGGCACCGATGGCAAGCTAAGTGGTTTGGAGACCGGTTTGCTGAGATTTCGCATCTACCCTCAAGAGCCAGTACCTCGGAGGCAAGCATCCACTAAGGGCTCAGACCTTGGCGTGTCAATGTGGGTCTGTCTTTGTTTGAACACCTATCGCACCAGCGTAGGTAACAAGCTATTTTCCCCTTGGTTCCAGGTTTCTGAACATGGACGCCCCTTTTTGTTGGTGTTTGAAAAAACAAAAAACAAGTTGACCCTCAGTCATTCTCTGGCGCAAGTGTTTTGTCCCCTGGCGTGTCAATGTTGGTCCCTCCCTCTTTGTTCGAGCACCGATCGCAAGTTTTTCTCACTTCCCGAGTTCATGGACTGCACTTCTTCTTGTTGCAGGTTTTTAACCCACTTCCTGAGTTCCGTTTCGAACTTTAGTCGCTTTCTGGGTCTGGATTATTTTGGTGACAAACACACAAGTGTGGTCGCTTTTTTACTGCCCATCAACTCAGGGAGTGAGAAATTCGGGATTAGCTTGTTCAGGTTTTGGAATGATGAGTTGCTGAGTTGCTGAGTTCTTCGTGATCGCGGGTGTTTGTTTTCACACCTGGGCAAATTCGAACCAAGGGATGTCGGGTTTTCGGTTTGTGGGATCAAGGGGTTTCTCCCCACTTCTGTGATATGTTCGGGAATCCCCCTGTATATAAAGAATTTTGTCTTTGGGGTTAGGCCGTTTCTGTTGTATCACAGATTCGTGGATTCCATTCCCCATGGCCCTGTGGGTTGTTTTCGGTTGGGACTCTCGCAGCTTCTGGTTTGTGGGGCTGTCCAGGACCTCAAGGCGCGGCTGGACGCCCACGGCGCGCGGCGCCAGCGGAGCCGCGAGAACTTGTCGGCGGAGGATGTGCTCACCTTCCTGGCGCCTTGAAGCCTTGGGGCGCCAGAAGATGTTCCTTCCTGGGCGGAAAAGTGTTTTTTTGGTATTTGAAGGTTTTTGTGTTTTTTGTTTTTATCCTTCCCGGAGGTTTTTTTGTTCCCCCGATTTTTGTGCTTATGATAGGTGTTGTTCATTTTCCGTATTTTTTTGTTTGGGGGGGTCTCTTTCACTGAAATATGTGTTTTCACAGTTTTCGCTGAAAGATTTTAGTTGCAGAAAAGCATACTTCCCCCTGTTGGTTGTGAAGGCAGGGGATTTCACTGGACATATTTGCTTATTTGATTTCAGGCGGCGAAAAACTAAGCATTAGATCCGGACGCGTTCCGTGGGTTCTTTTGCCTAAAGAGGATTTGGAGGGGAAATACATGGACTGGATTCGGAGGGATGCTTTTGCCTAGAGAGGATCAGGGGAACAAATTGGTCTAGCTTTGGATTTGGAGGGATGGACTTCGAACTGGGGTCGCTTTATGTTCAACGCTGCCAAACGGCAGAACACCCGGCAAAGCCAACGGTTGCTTGGAGTTGCCGATATTTGTGCGGATTCCTTCCGCTATGGTTTGCACTGTTCACGAGATATGGACCCCAACCTAAAGATGTTTTGGGTTTCAGGCCAATGCTGACTTAGGTTGACCTTAAGATCAGAACAGATTCAAAAGAGAAGCTCCATTCGGTGATTTGTTGGCCGTCTTCAAGGTGTGGCGCTGAAGAACATGTTCCTTTGTTTTATCAGGAATGGAGATGCTTTTTGTTGTCAACGAAGCACACGTCGTCTTGTCGTGCGTGCGCAGCACACCGTTGCTATCCTTTGCGTTTGCGACGTGTTTTCTTGGGTACATGAACTTTCAACCTGTTGACAGGGATCCAGGGGTTCCGGCCGAAACTCTTGTGCCGTGGTGTATCTGTCTGAGTCTTGTCAGGGATCCTCGGTCAAATATGGGGTACAAGCTCGGATGCGGACGGGTGGGTGCTTGGCAGCTTCAATTATCTCAAGAGTCTGGCTTTCAACTGGATTCATTCTTCCATTGGCTTGAGAATATGTTCTATTTTCCCTTGGTAGTTTTGAAGATAATCTATCACTGGATCTCATTTTTCCAGGGGGGCCTTGAAACGCAACTGGATTCATTTCGTCCGTGAAGAAGCCAAGGCCCAGAACTCCTGGCTCGTTAAAAGGGGCGGCCACGAGTATGTACAGCATAGCCATTGTTTTGTAGTTGTTCCTTTTTTTTCCCGGAGAATGAAACCCAGTGAGCCATGAGAGGTTGAAAGCGCAACAGCAAGCTAGATCAAGCAGCTCCCCAACAAGAGTTCGATGGTTGGACACACGCGGCTGTTGTCGATGCTATTAGAAATGGAGCCTGCAGAATTGTTGGACAATCGCCTAACGTCTAACCATGTCTGATGTCCGAAAAGTCCGGAGTCCGGCAAAAGAACCCTGTTTGTCCGAAGCAGAAACTTTCACGTAGTCCTTGGGTGATTGATTTGGGGTAGGAACCCTGCCTGGAGTCTCCACGACCCTCAACAATGGGGTTACCCAAAAGAGAGGGATCGTGGCCGGATTCCTGATTCGGGTCAGAAGGAGACTCCAGGCTGCTCGAAGTCACCAGCAAAGCTCACTTCCTGAGTTCCGTTTCGGACTTTATAGTTTTGGGAAGCCATTTTGGTGGCAAACAAAAAGTTTGGACTTTTTTCAATCCATCAACTCAGGAAGCGACAACGATTCTCGCTGAATCTGAGGAGCAGAATGGGCTGTGGGAGGAAGCCCGGCTGTTGCGCAGCGCCGACAAGAAGGACAAGGAGAAGGCGCAGGCTGCAGAGGAGACCCAGGCGACGGGCGGGTTTTCGGGTTGCAGTCGAAGGGTTTTTTGGGGGTAACTTCCATGTCGATTCTTTGCAGGGGATCCGAATCTTTCTAGAAAACCACCAAAAATATGAAGAAGGAAATGGCGATCGGTTGTTGAAAAGAACAATGGCTGAAAAAATGGGGAATCAACCCCTAGAAATTTGGGGGTGGCTGACCTTTTGGCCTTTTGGCTGTCCCCTTTTTATCCATAGGTCGTGGCACCAAAAAGTGCAAAACTTGTAGTTTTGGGTCCTGTGGGCAACTGAGATTAGGGCCCCCCAAAAAAATGGCAAAGGGTCCCTTTTTATTTCCCTTTCAAACCAAGGGGTTCCTAAAAAAGAGAGAGAGAGAGAGAGATAGCGCCATCTTGGGTGAATGTTTGGTAACTTGCAGCTTTGCCCTTTCTCACTCCCTGAGTTAATGGACTTGGACTTTCTTGGGAGACCATTTCAGTGCCCAACACAAAGTTTGGACTTCCATCGGAAGTGAGCTTTGGATTGGAGCACACCATTGATGCCAAGCATCATGTACTTTCTTCAGCTAGAATGTGGCTTATCTTGGACAGGGCTCCTCAAAAGATACATTTTGAACAGTTGAAACATGGCTTTTTCCACCAAAATAAAAGGGAACCCACCATTTACAACGTTACAAGGCAATGTTAAGGTGTATAATGTAAGGATCCCTGTTGGAAGTGGACCGGGGGTTCCCCGAAAGAGAAGCTATTCGCCTTACGCCTCCCCGAGAAAGCGAGCGCATGCTCGCAGGGAGGGATCGCAACATCTTTCGCAAGCGAGCGATGGACGAAGGGTTTTCTTAGGGCTTGCTGAATGAAGGTTGGTGGCTGCTTTTGCGCTTGATGTCCCCACCCGTGTTTCTGGAAAACGGTGTGGATGTGGCGAATCTGTGGATCCAGTTCTGCAGGATATTGAAGGAGTACTGAAAGTCTACTAAGAAAGGACCAACAGGGAGAAAAATAGCTGAACATCCTCGAAAGGCGCAACTCCAGACCGCTTTTCTTGCGTGTTTGCGCATGTTTTCACTCAGCTGGCGGGCACTGCCCTCGGACAGCCGAGAAAAAGAGAGAGAGAGAGAGAGAGAGAGAGAGAGATAGAATTAAAGTGCTTCCGAAAAGGGAAGCCTTGGCACGATCGAGACTGCGTGCTGTATAGCACATTGTTACAAGTGACAAGTGCTCATGGCGCCCATTGCTTTTTCCGTAGCCAAAGCTAAGGTAACAGGCGACGTGCGATGAATGTCTCCGCTTGGCCCGAAGTGGCAGGCGTTGCAGAACGGCGCCAGCCGGGAGTCCTTGCGGGGCGAGTCCACTGAGCTTCTCAAAGGAGGCACCTTGGAGGAGGACGAATTCGCGAATGCGCTGGCGAACATGCTGGAGGAGGACTGAGAGGGCTGCAATTGTTCGATTTTTCGCCGAATCAATGCTGAGGTTTTCAGGCCAAAATGAGTTTGATCATTTCGTTGAGACCTGACACTACCGTGTCTCTGGTACAGCAAACATGGAAGCTGAGGGAAGGTATGTGGACAGCCATTTTCGATCGGCGCCTTCTAAAGGGAAGAAGGGTTCTCGCTGAAAGGCTTTGAAGTGAGATCGTCAAACTCACGAGCAAGGCTTGTCGACGCGCACCAGTCAGGCCGGGAACCAGCTTCCCGGCGCCGTGTTTTTTTTTGCTTTTGTCCATGGCGAGTAAACGCCTGTGGAACCAGGGAGAAGCACTCTCAGTCTTGCCAGACATGGTCCAGCTTGAGCTGGGGCAAGTGCAACTTCCGATGGCCGGGAAAGCCGGAGAAAGCCGATTTCATGAAATGGGTCCAACTTGAGGCAGACACCGCCGGGTCGTCTCTGAATCTTACTCCAAAATGGCCCCTTTTAGGCAGAAGGGGTCGATCTCCGGGTATTTTGTTTGTTTTGTTGTGTCAATTGTTTCAGGATGCAACCTTCAAATAAGGGGTGTAACAACTCAACCATGAGTCATAGGGATTCTCTGAAACAAGGGTCTTTTTATTGGCAAGCAAAACACAACCGCGCAATGGCGTTATTCTCAGGAAGGATTTTGCCAATTCCAGAGTCTTGGATTGTGATACAAGCCATGCTCGCAAATGCTTGACATGCAATGGCAGAGCAAAAGCTCACAACAAGAATCTCATGCCCCAATGCGAGGGATATCAGGCATGGACATTTTGACATGGGGGGGCCCTGCGTTTTTCCAGGGGTTGATTCCGACCATTTTTTTCAACCATCGTTCTTCCAGAACCCGGATCCGTTTTACCTGGGTTTCCGGAGGTTTTCTAGAAAGATTCAGATCCCGCGAAAGAATGGAATTGGAAGGTACCCCTAGAGTTGTGTTTTTCGCTATTTGGGTGGGTTTGGGTTACCCCTAACTAGAGTTGTTTCTTCCATTTTTTGGGTGGGGCGAGGTTGGTGTGTTTTTTTGAGGAGCTGCCGGAAGAGGAGAGGCAACAGGAGATGGAGGCTCTGAAGGAGGAGCAAGATGCCGACGACGTAGATGGCGAGGAAGGCAAAAAGGCGGGAGATCAGAGTTTGGTGCATTGCTTATATGTTAGGACTTTTTGTTGCCAACTAATGGGTTTTCCGTGTTAAGCACGAAAGGTTAAACTATTAGCAGGGGAGCAGAACGCAACCGAGTGGAGTTTCTCAAAATGGTCCTTGGACCTCCTTTTGCTTTGTGTTTCATGTGGGACACCTCAGGTTTTAACCTTGTTTCTCAAAGTTCTAGGGGTTGATTCCTTGTCCATTCTTTTATCAACCATCGTCCTTTCCAAAAACCGGATCTGTTTTTGTGTTTTCTTTGGGTTTCCGGAGGTTTTCTAGAAAGAGAAGATCCCTGGAAAGAATGGAATTGGAAGGTACCCTTAGAAAAATGGCCCTTGGACCTCGGTCTCTTTGCTAGGTTCCTTTAGGACCCCTTAAAATGACCCCATTTGCCACTTTAGGGGTCACACGCACCACGGACTCTGGAGATGTTGGCTTTGTTTGGGCCAACTTGTTCCCAAAACAAAACTCGCCGTGGCAGGTAGTATCAGCTTTCTTTTTTTTGTTAATCCAAATGGACGCTTCAACTTGGGATTGGCCTCTAAAAACCTAAAGGAACATGGCTGGTTGCCCTTTTGGCCAATACCTTCCCCCAGAACATGGAAGCTCCCAGAGCCTTCTGGGAAGACTTGGTTCCAGAGGTCTCCGAGGGAGTGTAGGGGGAACTAGGAGCTGGTGAACTAGAATGGTACCCCTCCGCCCTGAAGGTGGTGAGGGATGGTAACTTAACACTTCTACCCCGTAAAAAAAGAAGAAGTGAGGAACGACTACTTTAGTATTGCGGCAATACTGCTCTAGGAGTCTTGGAATTGAGTGTCCATTTGAGAACTGCTGGGGCAAGTTTTTTTGAGTTTCCATGTCATTCACTATTCCTTGAGCTTCTCTTTCGGTGTAGGTCCAGTATTGCTGCCGACGCTCTTTTCTGAGAACTTTCTCTGGCTTTGATTGTCCAATTAATTGTGTATTACCAGAGCCTGCTGTTGAGATTTCGAAGTGAGTTCCGTTTGCCGCTGTAGTGCGCTTTTCGAGCTTTCATTCGGTTCAGTGTTGCCGGAACTCTCGTTTGAGATGTTGACGCATTTGTTCTCTCGGTTCCATTTCCCAGGCTTCTATAGTTAGTTGGTTTTACTAGGGCAATTGGCTGTTGGGTGGTTTGTCAGAAACTGCTTGGTTGCTTTTCCCTTGGACCTGCTTCTGGGGGTAGCCAACCATGGGGCCCCAGTCCTACCCCAAGGCGCTGGCACTGATTAGAGTTTCCATTTGAGTATTGCTGGAGCGAAAGCATTGGAGGTGACCGACGAATTTGGAGGGAACGGGGCGGGAACTCACGTGGAGTAGCTACGATCTTTTTGCAGCCACCACTTGTTTAAGCAACATGTACTCACTCCCTGAGTTCCATTATGTGACTTTATTATTTCTGGGCAAGGTGATCACTCGTTTATTCTGCATGTTGTAATCTGGGAGAGGATTGCAGCTCTTTTGCTTTGATACGTGGCAGCTGTGGCAAAGAAGCTAGCGGACCCGAAACCGATCCTCGATCGGCCGGCTGGAGATCATCTGCGGTTCAAGCAGTTCAAGCACCGAGGGAGTGTCCCAAGCAGTTTTGTCTCGGTTGCCCGGGACATGGCTGTGGGTCAAAACCAATGGTACCATTTTGGGGTAGGTGCACCACCCATTTTAGACTATTTTAGTTGGGATTGGGATGTTCACTGGGGGTACGTGATTTTGACCCATGGCCACATGGTTTCCTCGTTGATCAGGAAGCCTCTATGAATTTCTTGTTCATGGTGCACTTGGTGGTTTAACGAGAAGGCGCCGAGGGACGCAACCAACGTTTTTCCTGCCCGAGGAAGCTACCCCACGAGGAAAAAGCAATCCAAGCCAGTGATTCCATTTCCCTGTAACCAACACCTTGCTACCCTGGGAATAGCTGATAATAGCTGTTTGCCTACAAGAGCGAAAAACCTGGGATCTGGGCAACACAAAAGGCAAGTTACCCACTAATTTGCTCACTTCTGCCCTACTAAACGAGACTCAAGAAAAAACGGTACCCTTATTCCAACCTCTCTACTAGAGGACCTAGTAGTGCTACACAAAAAGTTTTGATATTTTCTGGCCAACCCACTCGATCGGAAGTGAGTTTGTACCCGACCGTCGTGACCCTCGGCTACTTCAGGCGAAGCCTTTGCCGCCTGCGCCTTTCGCGAGCCAAGCGGTGGCGACGCTGGCGATGTCGCCGGAGCAGGCGGCGATGTCTCCGGGGAGGTATGAGACATTTGACCCCCTATTTCAGACAAACAAACAAGCAGGGATGCAGGGGAAGCAGGGATGTGGGCATATGTTTCAGGTACTATTTTGACATGGTTTCCTTTACAGAGAGTCCTCGCACATCCCGGCTTCCCGCGTATCCCCGCGAATTTGTTTTGAGAACTATAAGGGCCCCTATTAATCAACCCCTGTTTATGAACAGGGTGTCCCTGGGTTTAGTGGGGAATCATTACTTTTGGAGGGAATCAAGCAACCAGTTTATTTCTAGCGGGTGGCTGTTTTCCCCTCCAAAAGTGGTCTGAGTCCAACCTCATTTCACTTGGGCAGAAGCCCCCCCCTATTCATAAACTGGTTGGTTCATGGCCGTTGTTGGGACACATGTTTCATTTTTGCTTATTGTGGTCTAGTGGTTGGAATCCACCCACTTAAAAGCTAAAAGTTGAGATTTGTTGCTCCCCTTCCAACCAAGGGTTGATTATGGGCTCGACATGTTACCCACCCGCAGATTGGCCAATAGCCTCTTTCATGTTGAAACGACTATTGTTTCACAGGGGGAAGGGGGGAGAAGGGGGGAGGGAGCCCAAATCAGCTCTTAAGCCCTGAAGAAAGCCTGATTTGGGCTCCCGGCCCCGTGATCGTGTCAAAAACCTGCTTTGCGTGCTGGTTTCAAGACAAAGGCCTTTGTTTAGATATATTTTGCACCATGCCTTTTGCTAATAAAGCAACCATCAAAATGTATGTCTCAGAGCTTAATTCTGAGCATGACTTTGCCCGCCTTCCCATGGGGAGCCTTCCAATCATTCTTTCCAGGGATCCTTCTTTCAGGAAAACCTCCGGGGAAACCACATTTGGTTCTTGAAAAGAAGGATGTTTGAAAATAATGTTTGTAATCCCCCCTAGAACTGTGTGGAAAGAACTGCCCTTTGGAATTGTCAAGATCTCCAGACCATGCCAGTTGCTTTAGACAGATGACACACGCGGACAACAGGGAGCCCTTGGCAGAGGGGGCTGCAGCCCAAGTTCGGTCCTTGGCTAGGTCCCTCAGTAGTGCCCTTTTGCCCTTTTTTGGGGGAGGGTTCCCCTACTAAAATAGACTACAGAGAAAAAAGGGTACTCTTATTCTAACCTCTCCACTGGAGGACCTAGTTGGAATCCAGCTAGGCATCTCTTACGAGTTTTCTTGAGATATCCCTAGCACTTAAAGCTGAATGTTTTTTGCTCAAGCTGAGCTCTTAGCCTCAACCCTGGGGTCATAGGTTCACCCAAGATAGTCAGATTCTGCCGATGTTTATCGATCCCCCGAGAAAAACAAGAAAACTAAGAACAAAAAAAACGGAAGATGCCGGTACAAGGGTTTGTTCCGTAGGAACTGTCACGTGTATTGTTTGCTTTTGATTTTCCCGTGAGGATTTACGAGGCTGCACCTAGGTATCCATGTTCTTCGATAGGCGAAGCGATGAGTCTCTTCAAGGGCAATGAGAGCCATCTCGGATGGCCTTGAGACGCAACTCAACAAAGAACATGTTTTGGAACTTTGGCAGGGATTCTAGGCCCCCCAGCTGGGTGCCCTTTTACCGTTTCTTTTTGGGGGGAGGGTTCCCCTACTAAAAAAGACAAAAGAAAAAAGTTGACACCCTTATTCTAACCTCTCAAATCTGGAGGACCTAGGATTCCTCATTCGGCAGACTTCCCAAAGGAATGAAAAAGTGGCGTTGCAACCCTGACCAAAGAGGGGGGTTACAGATTTCAAGCAGATTTCAAGTCAAACCCCGAAGGCACACAGAAAAATGTTGCAACCATGAGATTTCAAGCTCTCTTCCTTTTGGACCTAACCAAGCGGGGAAAAAACATAAACAAATAATAGTAAAAATACCAAACCAACAGAAGAGCAAAGCAAAAACCCGGGGGTCCGCAGTTTTTCGCCACAGGAACGAGCCAGGCCCAGGCTTGTGGGCTCAGGTGGCGCAGTGCCTCACGGAGACGCTGCAGGCCTTGCGCGCCGCGCTGCGAGAGGCGGAGAAGAAGTCGGAGAAGGAGAAGGACCCAACTCGGGCAGAAGGGACTATAGGTCCCCCAGCAATTGGTGCCCTTTTAGCTGGTTAAGGGAATCAGGGCCGGCCGTTTCGTCAGCTTAAATGTCAGTTGCCACATTCAATCCGGCTGGTCGACCGCGGATATAACCTGACAAAGTACCAAGCTGTGCCCCCAAAAGTGAAGGATCCCCAAAGTGCAATCGCCCCCTATTTAATTAGTACTAGCCCTATAGGCCTAGGTCATCAGTGGTGTTCTCCCATGGGGAGGTGCTGGTTGACACAAAGCTGGCCGACCCCGGCGACGTTTCAACCTTTCAGCATCGGGGTGATGCTCACACCGAGGCACTAGCCCAAGAACTATCCCAAGCTTCCCAAAACCCCATACAAAGACTCCTGGTAAACATGACCCTACTGAGTCAACATCAGACTCGAGCCTCTCAGTTGAGCATTCCAAAAGGTTCTGAAACGACTCGGACCGTCAGAACGAAAATTGGGAAGTAATCCCTTCCTGGCACAATGAAAGACTGGTCCCCTACTAGAATAGACAAAACAGAAAAGAGTTGGTACCCTTATTCTAACCTCTCGACTGTCTCGACTGGAAGACTTTGAGGGAGCGGCCGCTTCTCTAGCTGGGTGTGTCTCTCGTTTTTTTCAGGGGCCTCCGACCTCCTCCCCAAAAAAGAAGACAACGAAGAAGAAGAAGAAGCAGAAGAAAAAGAAGAAGTGGCGTGTCCTTTTGGTTTGCCTTTAAAACCGCAGAACAAGGTACCCTACAAAGAAATCTTTTTGGGGAAGTCGAAGTCTAGCGCTTTGAGCTGTCGGTTTTCTGGTTGTTGACACGAGCGAAACTTTCCTTTGGGCATGCCAAAGTGAACTCCAAACAAGGCGAGAGATGCCAAATGTTCTAGGAATACCTTCCATTTCCATCCTTTCCAGGGATCCGAGTCTTTTCAGAAAACCTCCAGAAACCCAGGGAAAACGGATCAGGTTATCGAAAAAGAACGATGATTTAAAAGAATGGGGAACAATACAACATCCTGTGATGTACCTTCAGACCTGTTGGGTCAAAACTGCAATTGTTGCCAATGAGATTCTCTTCATAGGCGACCAGCGAAAGCACTGGGGGTCTGGGATCGTTCGCCCAGGCACCGGTGCGCCGGTGCCCACAGGAGCCACACCGGCAGAGCGCTGAGGAATTCTTGGCCATGCGCTCAGTTCGTGACTCAAGGCTCAGGTACCGGACCCTGGAAACCCAACGTGGGGAGGTTTTTCTGAAGTCCTCTTGAAACAACCCCTTGTCCACTTCCATTGTTGGAGACAGGGTGGGCACGTTGTCTTGGACCGTCGAATTGCCGGTGGCACATATGCACCAGTTCCCATAGTTCTCAGCTTATCTTCCCCGTCACTTGCCGCTGGGCCATGGATTCCTGGAGCACGTCCCGCACTTCCCCCCCCAACCTCCCTGGAGTCTCCATGACCCTTACAAAATGGGGTCATTGCCCAAAATCATGGGGTCAATGACCCATTTTTGATTCGGGTCATGGAGACTCTAGGTCCCTCCACCCGCCCCCGCCCGGGCCTTCGTCTCCCAAGGCGGAGGACTTCGGCAGAGCCTTGGCCGAGTCGTTGGGCGCGGCGGACGCCGCGGAAACGTCCGCCGCGCCCTCCGAACGCGGCGCCGAAGCGGTGCCGGTGGCGGAAGCAGCCGCGAAGGTGCGGGGCTAGCTGCGAGGTGGAGCTTGGAGCTGGGTGCCAAGTTGCGGAAATATTTATCTTGTTTTGCCCTGGTGCACACGCAAGCATCACTAGGTCCCCCGGAAAGGTGCCCTTTGACCAACTTGTTTTTCTCCGTTTTTTTGGGGGGAAGGTTCCCCTACTAAAATAGACTACGGAAAAAAGTTGATACCCTTATTCTAACCTCGCTACAGGAGGACCTAGTTGGAAGGGCAGGGATCAGGTGCTGGTTGACACAAAGCTGGCCGACCCCGGCGACGTTTCAACCTTTCAGCATCGGGGTGATGCTCACACCGAGGCACTAGCCCAAGAACTATCCCAAGCTTCCCAAAACCACATACAAAGACTCCTGGTAAACATGACCCTACTGAGTCAACATCAGACTCGAGCCTCTCAGTTGAGCATTCCAAAAGGTTCTGAAACGACTCGGACCGTCAGAACGAAAATTGGGAAGTAATCCCTTCCTGGCACAATGAAAGACTGGTCTCCTACTAGAATAGACAAAACGGAAAAGAGTTGGTACCCTTATTCTAACCTCTCGACTGTCTCGACTGGAAGACTTTGAGGGAGCGGCCGCTTCTCTAGCTGGGTGTGTCTCTCGTTTTTTTCAGGGGCCTCCGACCTCCTCCCCAAAAAAGAAGACAACGAAGAAGAAGAAGAAGAAGAAGAAAAAGAAGAAGTGGCGTGTCCTTTTGGTTTGCCTTTAAAACCGCAGAACAAGGTACCCTACAAAGAAATCTTTTTGGGGAAGTCGAAGTCTAGCGCTTTGAGCTGTCGGTTTTCTGGTTGTTGACACGAGCGAAACTTTCCTTTGGGCATGCCAAAGTGAACTCCAAACAAGGCGAGAGATGCCAAATGTTCTAGGAATACCTTCCATTTCCATCCTTTCCAGGGATCCGAGTCTTTTCAGAAAACCTCCAGAAACCCAGGGAAAACGGATCAGGTTATCGAAAAAGAACGATGATTTAAAAGAATGGGGAACAATACAACATCCTGTGATGTACCTTCAGACCTGTTGGGTCAAAACTGCAATTGTTGCCAATGAGATTCTCTTCATAGGCGACCAGCGAAAGCACTGGGGGTCTGGGATCGTTCGCCCAGGCACCGGTGCGCCGGTGCCCACAGGAGCCACACCGGCAGAGCGCTGAGGAATTCTTGGCCATGCGCTCAGTTCGTGACTCAAGGCTCAGGTACCGGACCCTGGAAACCCAACGTGGGGAGGTTTTTCTGAAGTCCTCTTGAAACAACCCCTTGTCCACTTCCATTGTTGGAGACAGGGTGGGCACGTTGTCTTGGACCGTCGAATTGCCGGTGGCACATATGCACCAGTTCCCATAGTTCTCAGCTTATCTTCCCCGTCACTTGCCGCTGGGCCATGGATTCCTGGAGCACGTCCCGCACTTCCCCCCCCAACCTCCCTGGAGTCTCCATGACCCTTACAAAATGGGGTCATTGCCCAAAATCATGGGGTCAATGACCCATTTTTGATTCGGGTCATGGAGACTCTAGGTCCCTCCACCCGCCCCCGCCCGGGCCTTCGTCTCCCAAGGCGGAGGACTTCGGCAGAGCCTTGGCCGAGTCGTTGGGCGCGGCGGACGCCGCGGAAACGTCCGCCGCGCCCTCCGAACGCGGCGCCGAAGCGGTGCCGGTGGCGGAAGCAGCTGTGAAGGTGCGGGGCTAGCTGCGAGGTGGAGCTTGGAGCTGGGTGCCAAGTTGCGAAAATATTTATCTTGTTTTGCCCTGGTGCACACGCAAGCATCACTAGGTCCCCCGGAAAGGTGCCCTTTGACCAACTTGTTTTTCTCCGTTTTTTTGGGGGGAAGGTTCCCCTACTAAAATAGACTACGGAAAAAGTTGATACCCTTATTCTAACCTCGCTACAGGAGGACCTAGTTGGAAGGGCAGGGATCAGGTGCTGGTTGACACAAAGCTGGCCGACCCCGGCGACGTTTCAACCTTTCAGCATCGGGGTGATGCTCACACCGAGGCACTAGCCCAAGAACTATCCCAAGCTTCCCAAAACCCCATACAAAGACTCCTGGTAAACATGACCCTACTGAGTCAACATCAGACTCGAGCCTCTCAGTTGAGCATTCCAAAAGGTTCTGAAACGACTCGGACCGTCAGAACGAAAATTGGGAAGTAATCCCTTCCTGGCACAATGAAAGACTGGTCCCCTACTAGAATAGACAAAACAGAAAAGAGTTGGTACCCTTATTCTAACCTCTCGACTGTCTCGACTGGAAGACTTTGAGGGAGCGGCCGCTTCTCTAGCTGGGTGTGTCTCTCGTTTTTTTCAGGGGCCTCCGACCTCCTCCCCAAAAAAGAAGACAACGAAGAAGAAGAAGAAGAAGAAGAAGAAAAAGAAGAAGTGGCGTGTCCTTTTGGTTTGCCTTTAAAACCGCAGAACAAGGTACCCTACAAAGAAATCTTTTTGGGGAAGTCGAAGTCTAGCGCTTTGAGCTGTCGGTTTTCTGGTTGTTGACACGAGCGAAACTTTCCTTTGGGCATGCCAAAGTGAACTCCAAACAAGGCGAGAGATGCCAAATGTTCTAGGAATACCTTCCATTTCCATCCTTTCCAGGGATCCGAGTCTTTTCAGAAAACCTCCAGAAACCCAGGGAAAACGGATCAGGTTATCGAAAAAGAACGATGATTTAAAAGAATGGGGAACAATACAACATCCTGTGATGTACCTTCAGACCTGTTGGGTCAAAACTGCAATTGTTGCCAATGAGATTCTCTTCATAGGCGACCAGCGAAAGCACTGGGGGTCTGGGATCATTCGCCCAGGCACCGGTGCGCCGGTGCCCACAGGAGCCACACCGGCAGAGCGCTGAGGAATTCTTGGCCATGCGCTCAGTTCGTGACTCAAGGCTCAGGTACCGGACCCTGGAAACCCAACGTGGGGAGGTTTTTCTGAAGTCCTCTTGAAACAACCCCTTGTCCACTTCCATTGTTGGAGACAGGGTGGGCACGTTGTCTTGGACCGTCGAATTGCCGGTGGCACATATGCACCAGTTCCCATAGTTCTCAGCTTATCTTCCCCGTCACTTGCCGCTGGGCCATGGATTCCTGGAGCACGTCCCGCACTTCCCCCCCCAACCTCCCTGGAGTCTCCATGACCCTTACAAAATGGGGTCATTGCCCAAAATCATGGGGTCAATGACCCATTTTTGATTCGGGTCATGGAGACTCTAGGTCCCTCCACCCGCCCCCGCCCGGGCCTTCGTCTCCCAAGGCGGAGGACTTCGGCAGAGCCTTGGCCGAGTCGTTGGGCGCGGCGGACGCCGCGGAAACGTCCGCCGCGCCCTCCGAACGCGGCGCCGAAGCGGTGCCGGTGGCGGAAGCAGCCGCGAAGGTGCGGGGCTAGCTGCGAGGTGGAGCTTGGAGCTGGGTGCCAAGTTGCGGAAATATTTATCTTGTTTTGCCCTGGTGCACACGCAAGCATCACTAGGTCCCCCGGCTAGGTGCCCTTTGACCAACTTGTTTTTCTCCGTTTTTTTGGGGGGAAGGTTCCCCTACTAAAATAGACTACGGAAAAAGTTGATACCCTTATTCTAACCTCGCTACAGGAGGACCTAGTTGGAAGGGCAGGGATCATGGCTCGCCACCGAGAGGCAAGTGGTATGCTTTGGCAAGTAAGGATTTAGAATTCAACTAACACATTGTTCCATTGAAAGGAAACCACAGGGGACGGACATCATTGCAAGTGTCTCATGCCCCCTATTGAGCACCCAGGAACAATTGTTATGGTCCTTGCCATGACCAGTTCTTTGAAATCGGCTGGGTTTTACTGGAATAAATGCGAAGCCTTGTGGCCAACACAGCCATAGACATGCTGAGTGCATGATCCCAGGCATCCAGAGTCATTCTGATATTGTGAGATGGATTGCACCCGACCAAGTTGTTGGGGGCCTTCTTGCCATTTTCTTGTTTTTGTTTTTTTTTGTGTTCTCCGCTGTGAAAAGACTCAAGAGACGAGAGGCTTTTTTCCCTGTGGCACCCTCAATCGAGCAGGCAGATGTAGAAATGCCGGAGAACGACGTCCAGCTGGCTGGCCGGGTCCTCGTATCGATACTCAGACCCGACACTGGACCCATTTGGCTGGTCAAAACCAATGGGACTCCATTTTGGGGTAGGTGAATTCACCACCCATTTTAGAACCTATTTTAGTGGCTGGATTGGGATGTTTACTGAAAATACGGGGGTTTGACCCATGGCCATTAAAAAAAAACTCCAAACTCTAATTTTGGAGGAATCTCCTTTCGGCCCCCTTGGCTCCATGTTTATTTGCAGGGAGCACCCATGCACTCCCGTCGGAATTCCCGGGTCTGAATGAGACACTGCTACGTGAAGCTAAATGCCTTGCATTGTGTGACTGGTTGCACCTGCACTACCTGTGGTATGTCGTTAAATTGAAACAGCTTCCGCACGCCCTCCCCACATCAACCAACTGTTTGCTCATACTTTGTGGTGTCGGGCCCCCGTGCAGGTTAGTTGACAGGGTTCCCTAAAGAGGCCACCCCCCTTACATAGGTGCCGCATGGAGAAAGACTGATGTTTGGTCAACTGGAAATCCTTCGTCTCTTTCATAAGCTCTTCTTGTTGGTAACATCCTTTGCAGAAAGGAGCTGCAACAAATGTGATGTCCAAGAGCAAACCAACCATGCGAGAGAGTAGAAATAGAGATGGAGATAGAACCCAGAGAAACGGTTGGACATGCGAAACACACCCACTGATCGTTCAAGTCCTCGACACGTCTACATCCTGGAGCAGAGAACGAGCAGATGACTCTGCATTACATCTAGGCCCCAAGTAGTGCCCTTTTACCCTTTTTTGGGGTCCCCTACTAGAATAGACTACAGAAAAAAGTTGGTACCCTTGTTCCAACCTCTCTACTGGAGGACCTAGACATGGAACAGCTTACGCCAGCCGTCTCCAAACCGGGGGACACCTTCGAGAATGAGAATTCCGCGCCCTTCAGACATGAGCCGCGCCAAAACATGTCCCCAAGCTAGGGGGCCCCCCCTTTTCCCTTTCGGATCGATGCACGCATGGGTCAAAAGGAAGCCCCCGAAGGACTCGGTGGCATTTGCTTTTCCCTTTCTCACTAGCATGGTCATTCCAAACAGCTTGAAGTCCAACACCTGGGGCAATGGTCACTCGGTCTTTCGTGTGGCCATATGGGTTTGTAGGCCCCGCCAGAAAACGAGCGCAAAGCCGGTCAACACCTAAGAGGAAACACGGAACAAGCGAATCGACCGGATCCGACCTTTTGGTGTTTAGCCTGGGTTCCAAAAGGACAACCTTTCATTTCCAGGTCCTTCAGAAAGTGAGTCTAGCCTGGGTTCACTAAAATGATCAGCCCCAAGATCCCATCTTTATCGCCAGCACCTGTCTTGACAACAAACATGGGCTTACCCAAACTAGGTCCCTCAGTAGTGCCCTTTTACCCTTTTTGGGGGGAGGGTTCCCCTACTAAAATAAACTGCAGAAAAAGTTGGTACCCTTATTCTAACCTCTCTACTGGAGGACCTAGCAAAAGAAAGGGGTCCTTTTTACCCCATGATTGCTTCAGGTTAGAAGGCGACTCGTTGCTTCTGAGAAAGGACGCCAACTGGTTTGGGAAAGACAGCCAAGATTGACTCCGCGTCGAACGCCGGACGCGTCCCGGAGGCTCGCAAGAACAAGCTTGGCAGGGGCGCCCGTTTCGCTTGCGTTTGCACGAGACCTCTCGCGTCCAGGTTTGGGTTTTCGAGCTGCTCCGTTTGAGGTTTTGTAATGCGGATATGGGTCAAAATCAAACCACCATTGGAGCGCAGGTTTTGGTCCATGGATCCATGTACTAGGGTTCCATTTGGGGTACCTATGTTTGACCCACAGCCATGTGTGCGCACGCGGCCAAAGACCACTGGCGCCACTTCTCGCAACCTTCGCGCCTTGAGGCGCGCCCCGCTGGTGGCCAGAACCTCAACCGCTCACATTGGCTGAGTGATGGATGAATTTTGGAATGACTTGCGCGGATTGTCGCAAAATACTCAACTGCTATTGGGTTGGATCTTTGGACTTTAACTTTTTGGATCCCCCTCGTATTTCCTTTGAACCAGCAAAAGGTTAAACTTTTTGCTGGGGGATCTACAGCACCCAAGAATAGAGCGTTGTATTGTGAAAGTAGCTGCCCTCGTGCGTCTTTGACTATTGGCCCCAGTGATTCGCATTTGACGGTTGATGAGTTGACACTGAGGCGAGTGTGAAGTTAGTCGTGCTGGTTGTATAGAGGGAATGACATGGACCGCAGCCTACCCATGCATAATGTGTTGATAACACAACCAGCACATGAGTCTCATGATATCATGACGCTGCATATGTCCGCTCTCTCTCTCTCTCTCTCTCTTTGTGTGTCCCCATACATGGTACACGTAGGAAAGCGCGGGCATACATACATACATACATACATGCATGCATGCATACATACATACATGCATACAGTAGACATAACTGCATGCATGGATGCACGCATGCATGCATACATACATACATACTTGCATACATACCTCTATCCATACACACATTACCTTACATTACATGTCGTTACATTACATTGCTTTGATTCATTGCACTACAGACATTGCATAACATTGCATTACATCAACATTGTATTGCATTACCCTAACGGTACACTTCATTGCATATACATTACATGTGAACAACATTACAATGCATTGCATGGCATAACGTTACATCACATTATACTGCATTGCTTTGCTTTGCCTTGCAACTGCATTGCATTGATTGCATTGTATTACACTCATTACTTTGCACTGCACTACATACATGCATTTCTACACAATTGCCGAAGCTTCCATTACATACACACTAGCAGTTGCATATATTTGTCACCGTGTATGCCTTTTGCTAGAAACTCCTGGTAGTTTGAATTTTTAATGAGCGGCTTGTGAGGCGCAAGTCTCTCAAATACCCACACATTGCCCACAAAATACGCAAACACCCTCAACACGCCACAGCAGAACGCAAATTCGGCACGGAACGGCTGAAACGCCTAAAACCATTAGAAAACTGGAACATCCGGGAATTTCCAGGAGGAGGAATTTCCAGGACAATGCATGCGTGCAACATCTGGGACAGCTTTGTCTTAACCCTTTAGTGATGGCTGCCATTGTCTTGTTTTCGTTTTTGAAGTTTTGCATGAGGCCAGTGCCACCACAGACACCCAGACCTGGAGATTGTACCCAAAGCTCACGACATACCCAAAACAGCTTGGGTGGTTCCAACTTGTATCTCCGGGTGTTTCTCAGACACCAAGCTTTGGGCATGTCCCATGGCACCGTGGCGCGCTCGAGGCGGTTTTGGAGAAGTCCCGGCGCTGCGCCGCCTTTCTTGGGGCGGCCAGGCGGGAGGAAGGCGATTCGCGAGCGAATCGGAGCGAAAGGTTTTGATGGCAGCCAGAGTTCATGGGAAGACAGACAAGTTTAGGGACAAACAAAAGGTGTTGGGTTGCTTTTTTTTGGCCAGTCACAGGTTGAATTGGTCGAATCGAATCCTCATGATGTAATAGTACATGGTCCCATCTTGCCTCGGGAGTTTCCCCCTAGCCTCACCCCGGGCGGCTCACATTTTCCTGGTTCTCAGATCTTCCGTGCTGATGCGCTGAACTGGTCGTTGATCCTATTGGAGGGCTCTTCTAGACTTGCTGCTTCTCAGATCGGAACGAGTTGGAGTTCCCAAAGATCAGGGGGACCGGGCCCCCTCGTTTTGCCCCCTCTCCAAAGGGTCTCCGTTTGCCGATGTTGGCTTAGTGCAAGTTTGGATTTCTCGCCGCGGAGAAATTCGACCAATGTTTTGGGCTTTGTGGAAGACATGTGAGGGTCAAATGAGGGAGCTACGGCAGGGTACAAGCCGTGCAGCCCCCCCTCCCACTACCGATTGTAACACAGTACCATGGTTGTTGTTGGGAAACATTTTACATGTTTGCTTATTGTGGTTTAGTGGGAAATCCAAACTTAACTGCTAAAATTTAAATTTCTGCTCCCCTTCCAACGTCAACCTGGGTACTGTTGTAACACAATGCTGATGTGGGCCACAATCAACTCCCCGGGTAGATGAAGGTTAGTACGGGGGAATCCTAACCCATGGGCGCTTCGCCGCCTTGTTACTTCCTTTAGACTGGGTAGACTGGGTAGACCAACAAAAGACACCATCGGTTTTGATTTTGCCTCATTTGGGCAAGAAAAAGTCACAAACTTGATTCATGGGCCGAATGCCCTCGAATGTTGCCTCTGGGCGACGTAATGATTTGTCCAGACCGATTCCACGGAAAGGACAGCTAGCTTACCGGTTCTCAGCAAGGACAAAAATGTCAGTTTTTTGGAATGAGCGCTGCAAACCGCCAGATGGACGACAGCACTCCCATTTTCGACACCAGTTAGATGGTTCAGTTCGGGGTAGTTTTAATTTGGTCAGTGATCCCTTGGGGAAGAATTGACGAGAGGCCACTACACATGCGATGAAGATGTGCATGTTCAATGGTGGTTGGCTCGCGTGCGTCGGCCATTTTTTTTTTTTTTTTTTTTTTAATCAAATGAGATGCATGTGATGGGTCACCATTCCTCACAACCGTGGCCCATGCATGGCGCACGGGTGAAGTTGCAATTCTGAATTGCTGCCAGAGCCCTGCGCTGCTTGTCCTTGAACATGTCCCATGAGGTGAACAACAATGTACCAAAAGGAACTTGTGCTTCCAAGCTCTGGACAAGCTGATGCAATTTCAGTCTTGGACGACATCATCATTTCAGGCCTTCCTAGTGTTCACGGTTGGGATTCGGCACTGTTCTTGAGCCCTCAGGTTTGCCAGGCCTGCGGTATGAAACAAGGCATTGTTGCTTGCTAGGACAATGTTTTACTCATCGAAAAATACATGGTCAGCTAGAAGTGATGCTGCGCGCGTTTACCAAGCAGGTTATAAGATTCGTTCTAGTGCTATCGAAACTTTTGAATAGATGCTGGCATAGTCCGAATAATGATTGGCTTGATGTGAATGAAATGTGCTTTGTTTGAGGAGATGCGGTTTAAACCAAGGGCATGCACTCACTGTGTGTGACCGGGGTTGCTGTTTGAATCACATCTTTGTCTTGAGGTCTGGGCTGACACCACCAATTATTTTGTTGAACATTTGGCCATGCTTCAAACCAATGGGATCCCATTTTGGGATAGGTGCACCACCCATTTTAGAACCAATTTTAGTGGGGGTACAGGCTTTTGACCCATGGCCATCTATCTGATCTGGTCCCAAGAACTGATTTTCAGAGGCTCGGCCCTGTTGGCAAAGCAACGGCCTTCCGTCCAGGACTGCCCTGCCCAGCCTGGCGCCTAGCTTTCAGTCTCAGTTTGCTTCCAGGCATGGTTTACCTTTTTTGCCCGGAAAGACTCAAAAGTGACGTTGTTCATCATTATTCTCTTCATCACTGGAGGCTTAGATTTGTGCGGGCCCAAGTCTGCGCCAAAGCAACTGCTGGACGCGTCCATGGGATTCATCGGGTGAAGCTTAACGGCCATTGAAGCATGTCACCATGGGCGTCGCGTGCCTGAACTTGGCGCTTGGCGAAGCTCTGAGGCGATACAAAGGCTAAGACGGAGCAGCCGGGGCTTAAAGTAACATGGCCATGGGTCAAAAGCCAAATCGTACCCCCAGTGAATTCACCTACCAACCAAAATGGGATCCCATTGGTTTGACCCACAGCCACATGGAACCGACTAAGAGGGTGTCCCAACAAGATGGGTTTCGTCAGAGGTTGGTTGGTTTCCTGGCTCCATGTCAAAATCTGCCGAGTATCTTGTCCGCCGGGCTTCGAGGGAGCTGCGTTTTCTCGATTCGCCCATTGAATCCATTCAACTTTATATGTAGCCAAGGGCTTGCCACCCTGCGAAGACCAAAATGACACATTGCGAAGGGTTACCTACGTATAACTGGGATCCACTGGGTAGTTGTTACGGATGATGGAAATGGAAGGCTCTGATTGCAACCCAAAATGGAGCAACCCAGTCGGAGTATGTTCAGAGCTAAACACGCCGAGTAACTCGGCAAATTTCAAGAGCCTCTCACTCTTCAGTGCCCTCGCGTCTTAACCTGTGCAACCATGGCAAAGGCAGGTTGGCATCGACGAAAGGGTGGAAAGAATGCTAAGTGCCCCCGGAGGACGTGTGGATCAGATCAATCTCAAGTCCTTGCGGATCATGGTCGATGAGAACCCTTTCATTTCAGTCCCTCTTCACTACCACGTTGCGTGTTGCTTTTTGTTTCCTGCGGAATCTCATCACAGCAAAGTCTCGCTGTTTAGAGGCTCGTGAGTCATCTGAGTGATCCTGAGTTCGTCTTGCGCATTTTAGGGTTCATGACAGGATGATGTAATTCAGGAGGGGTTCGGGACCGACCCTTACTTTTCACTAAAGATGGGCCAGAATCATGGCTTTGGGATGTCTTTGCTGCGCGCATTTTGCGCCTCGAGAGCTTGGTTCCCTCAAGAGCTTGCGCCTCAGATTTGGATCCTGCACTTCACGACTTCAACACCCTGACGTTGCACCAGGCGCTACCCCAGCACTGCTTTTCCCATAAACATCCCAAGTGTCCCAAAAGCAGTTGGGTGCTGGTGGCAGCGCTATTCTTTTGGCTTCCCTTTGCATAGCACATGCTAAGTAGGCCGCAACCCCCAAGGGCCATTTGCGGGTGTGAAACAATGCATTTACCCTTCCCTATTGCAGACTGGACCCCGAAAAGTCCCTGTGCTTCAACACCAGCGGGCACAAGCACTTTTCTAGTTTTGAGAACATTCACGCAGGGATATGGGCTTTGCAGGTACGGTTTTTGGACTTCAGGGATTTCTCAAAATAGGAGCTGGTCCCCCAAAATCGCAAGGGTGTCCTGTTGATCTGTCAAATGCCAGGTGGAAGCATGCTAGAGCCTCTCAGGTGTCCCACGTTAACGTGCGCTCCGTACCAGGCGCGAGGCTTGCGGGACGAGGTGGCGAAGGTGGAGAAGGCGAGGTTGGCTCGCCGGAGCCGGAGCAAATGCCCCAAATCGATGTGGCTGTGGTTGTCGAAACCAATGGGATCCCAGTTTGGGGTTTTCGGTGCACCGCCCATTTGAGAACCTATTTTAGTTGGGATTGGGATGTTCACTGGGGGAATACGGGCTTTAGACCCATGGCCATGTAGCTTTCTTGTTTCGGGGCGGACGAAAACAAATCAGCAGAATCTGGGAAAGTCGTCTCCCGATGTTTTCCTTTTTTTTGTGCACCGTCAAGTGTGCGGTTTGACTCCTTTCCCAAACCGCAACTTGGTTTCTCGTCGTGGTCAGAGTGTTGAACTGCTCGAGTGGCCTGCAGTCAGCAGGGTGACACCGGGGAAAGCTTGGCTTCATTCGACCTCATGAAATGGCCTATGTAACTGGGGTAGACTTAGGATACATTTTACATTTTACCATTGACTCAAAGTGAAGCAAACAATATGGTAAGAAGCTCTGTTATGACTTCCCAATTAGGCACAATTACAGAAATACCATATTACTCAATTGACTCAGAAGCATACATTCTGTAATTGGGCCTAGCTCTATGGTAAGAAGCTCTGCTCATACCCGGGGACCCGTGACTTGGCTTCCTAGCCGCAGAGCCCCCAGCCACTCGTAACTCGACTCGTAACACCCACTGACCGAACTTGTTTTGGGAGGTGAAGCGCCGAGAGGGCGAGCCTGCTTTCCATGGATGCCTGTGGCCTTGAATGTTTGAAGCGTAGGGCTTTTGCCCAGACCAAATGGCTAGAGGGCAATCCAGTTCGCATAACCCAAGCAGATACACTTTTTGGCTTGATTGAATCGGTACCATTGTAGGTCGGCTCGATTCAGCGTTTCGACTCGACATTTGGGCCAACCACCCGCGTTTTGATTTTGAACTCAGAAAAGGAGTGCTATTGAAGGACGTGCAGGTATGATTGAAAACAATAGTCCCTTGGGCTTAGGTGCAATCAAGAGTTTCAAGGCATAACGACCCACATGGTTTTTGCTGTTTCAGGCGTTGTTTGTGTATGGTTCTAGGGGTACCTCCCCCATTCTTTCCAGGGATCCTTCTTTCTAGAAAACCTGCAGAGATGCGGGAAAAACGGATCCGGTTTTCGATAAAGAACGATGGTTGAAAAGAATGGACAAGGAATCACCCCCTAGAATGTTAACAATCCCCCTTTGACGTCTTGACGTCCGTTGTTTGGTATGTTTCATCGTTTGTTTCGGGCGTTGTTGTAAACATGAATGTATGTATGGATTGTTTGTTATGGTTGGGTTTGTATGACGTCGTTGGTTTGTTATGTATGGTGCGCGTAAATCTGGGCTCCAGTTGAACTGCACGTCGCCTGGAAGGTGGAGACGCTGCGAATGGCGGTGGCCATGATCAAGGAGGCAACGTGGCCAACGACGCAACGAGTTGATTTCGGGGGAAAGTCTCTTGGTGGCCCCCAGCCATCCGATTCCTTAGCTTTTTAGATCCTTTTAGAGTTTTGTGGTAGTTTCCATTTAAGCCACTAAACTTTGGTGCATTTTGCCAAGGGATGTTAGGACTTGAACTTTTTGCCAACTAATGGGTTTGCCATGAAAAAGTCAAACTTTTAGCAGGGGAGCAAGCGAGGATAGGGGATTCCAAATGTGGCGGTTTTATGCGGTTTTCCCATTGATTCTTTTTTAAGCCAACACCACAAAGGGTACTCACGAAAACTGGCAGACCCATTTATGGGCCAGGCCGCACGTTGGGCCCACTTGAGCAGCACTTGAAACCGCTGTTTGCGATCGAAAAGTAGGTGGTTCTACTACCTGGTTAAATAGGGATTAGAATCAGGCTCACAAAAAAACATGTTTGTAGCAATGATAGTAGAACGAAAGGTCAATGGGTTTTGGGCGCGCCCATGTGTGCAACAAAAACAGGGCGTGAATTCATGGGGGTTTTCTTCAACGAAATGTGTGCTTTTTGCGGTTGCTTTGCAACTTGGGCATTGCGCTAGACATGTGGGCTAGCTGCCGGCATTTAGCTGCATTGCTATTGCCAAGTCATCGGTGGATTGGCCAAATAACATCATAGGTTTCAGCACCCCGCAACAACTGCTTTTTTCCATGTCCAAAATCCCAAGTAATTACTGGCCAAAAGAAGTGGTGGGGAGGCTGCTGGTTGCTGTATAATTCTTGGTTATTGGCCCGAGCAGTAGGCTCCCCTCCGGTGAGAGTTTAACGGTGTCCTTTCATCCTTTTGTGGAGGGCTTCCCAGGTGCACTAGCACTCAGCCGGGTTGACTTGCTTAGGTGAAGACCATGATCGCGGACATGCAGGCACGTTCCTTCCAGTGCCTTGCACGTGGCCCGGCAACTAAAGGTCTTTGAGTGATCAGATTGCTCACCCCAAGTTCCCTGGAAAGGATGCATCGCCGTTTCTGCGCGGGGCATTTGCCAGGCTCCCAGATCTGGCTCCAGCGCCTCTTTGCCAGCGGCGTCCAGCGTGGCGGTGGCCGGCGCCGCTGAACCGTCCGCTTCGGCGCCGGAGGCTGCGGCCAGCGTGCCGTTGGCTGCGGCAGCCGTGACGGCGGGCGCGGAATCGGAGATGAGAGAGAACGGGGCCAAAGATGGCGATGAGCCAATGCCACCGGAGAGGGAGGCGCACGCGCCGAACACGGAGACGCCGCAAGCGGCGACGCAGCCGCAAGAAGCAGAGGCCAGCCAGCCAGCGCCAGCGCCGGAAGCAACGAGCGCCGTGCAGCCAACGCAGCTGACGCCTGAGGAGCGGAAAGCAAGGCGCGGTGCCGCTTTGGCATGGGAAGTGGACAAGGGAATCCGTCGCCAACACCCCCCGACTTTCAAATCGCAGGGTATCATGTATCTGTATAGTATGTAACCAAAAAGCCACTCTTGAACTTCAAAGACCAAAAGGAACATAGCTGCTTACCTACTATAAGGGAAACTGGGATCCAGCGGGATGACTTGTGAAGTGACCTTCTTTGGGCTGTCCATTTGGCTACTTGACAGCACTTGCCTGGGGGTCCCCGACGAGCTCGCATGGCGGAAGCGAGCTCATTCAATTTTGAAGTAAATTGTGCAAAGTTGGGTTTCGACCAAGCTGTTCCTTCACCCCAAAAACCGCAAATCGCCCAAACAAAAACGAGAGCCGTGATCCGCGGGGATCCCCGGGATCCGCGGCGGGGGCCAGGGAGCTGGCCTGGCGCCGGCGCCTGGCCCGAGCCTTCAAGGAGCTGCGGCGCTCCGAGCACGCGAAGGCGGTGGCGGGTTGGGTCATGCGGGAGGGGGGGGTGGGTGGGTTGAGTGCCATGGAGCTGAAAAATGAAGATGTGTTTGATTTCCCCCGGTTGGTTTTAAAGGAAACCTATTTATGGAGCCACCTGCTCAAAAAAAACCGGGTAGATGAAGGTTAGGAAGGGACAATCCCCTTGCCATACATAGCTGCGGATATTTGCCTTCTTAATTCTTTACATGGTTCTGAAGTTCTGCGTCATTTTAATCGTGTGCGATTTTCCCCGGCTGGTGTTAAAGGGAATCGATTTCACGACTGGATTCATAACCAAATGGAAGAATTGAGTGCCATGGAGCTCGTAGCACTGGAAGGCCAAGTTGTTTGAGGTGGACACTTTCATGCGCGATGGGGAGGGTATGGGGCTTGTGAATTTCTTCCAACTTGCTGAAATGACCTTGGTGTAGGACCCTAACGAAGATGCAACAACTCGGAGAGGTGCAATTGTGATTATGTTTGTCACGTTCACTGGTTTCCTTTAAGGAGAATTGATTTCACTACTGGAAAAATGTTCTCATGTTGTTGAGGGGGCGAAAATGCAAATGCAAGGTTTGTTTGGACACTTCGAGCTAAAGTTTGATTGGACTCTTGTTTTGATTGGACCTTTGCTGACCTTAACTAGCTGCTAGTTGGAAGGGAGCCAAGGAGCTGTTGATATTCCAACTTGCATGTAAAGAGGGAGCTGAGGAGCTACCGGGAGTTTTGTAAGGACATGGTAGTTAAGGTTGGGAACAGTCATGTTAAACCTTTTGCGGGTCCAGCTAAGGAATCAACGAGTAGCAGCACGCTCTTAGCCAGTCCCCGCTTCTTCTTGTGTCCAAAGTACTGTGGACGAACTGCACCACTTTGAAACTATGGTTGAAACCATTCTTTGGTATTTACCGGGGAATCCTCAAACACCCAGGGTTTCTGAACGGTGCGAAATGAAGTTTGATCCGCATGCATGAGTGCCGGAGATTTGTGTCTGCCCGGTTTGTTGCCTTGTGCCCCCATGCTGCATTTTATCAGCAGCGGTTGTGGGAATGGGTTTCTTGGGCCCGGCAGGCCCGGCATTTGCCCCCGCAGGGCGGTTTCACTGTCAGACTTGGTTCCAAAATCCTGGGCTCCAAACCAGCCATTGGGCGTGTCTTTAGACCCCACAAAATGTCTTCGGTCCTCGGTTTCCCTTAGCCACGAAACTTGCTGCTGCCATAAGTAGCATGGTTGTTGTTGGGAAACATTTTAAACATTTTTGCGCAAATTGTGGTTTAGTGGTTGAAATCCAACCACTTGACTGCTAAGATTTATTTGTTTGCTTCCTTTCCAACGTCAACCAAGGTAGGGAATGAGGGAATGAGCAAGTCGGAATTCCCTTCAAGGAAATCACGAGTTGGATGGTTTATAAGGCTCATTCCATTTCTCATCCCCTGCTCAGCACCAGCAAGAAAACAGGGGTTGCCTCAACCTTGTTGCCCAGTGGTGAGTTCCGATTCCTTTAAAGTCAAGCAACCCAAAAAATCGGATGCCGATTCCTTGTTTCCCATGGACATCCACCGGGCATTTGAGTCAAAAAAGGAGGTGCCTAAGAGGGAAGCTGACTCTCTGCAGGCAGCCCTCGAGGTGGCAGCGCCGGGGTTGATGGAGAAGACGGTGGCGGCGGAGGCGGGTTCCCGGCTCCTTAGCTCCGCGTTTTGGGCTGATGGTTACGGTTTTAGTGGTGGTTTCCATTTCTGCCTAGAATCAACTTGTTAGCTTGTTCGGCTTTTTGTTGGTTTTGGTGGTAGTTTTCATTGAACTCACTAAACAAGCAACTTTCATTGAACTCACTTGTAGTTCTGTAGATTCAACTTGTTGGCTTGTTAGCTTGTTAGCTTGTTAACTAATACTAAGCAGAGGCATGCTGCTTATCCCGAGGAGCTGGGTGGTGAAACTAGTAACCATAATCTATGGTTGAATATAGTTCCAGCAGGCTCCTGTGGATTACGTTCGAGGCAAATGGCATGAACGAGCTTGATTTGTCTCGGTACAGTGGGATCCCTGTGTTTCGCTTGCGGGTTCCTTTGAGCAAGCGCCCGATTCAGAGTCCTTCAACTCTTTTTTTATAGACCCACGTTCTTCCGAATGCCATGGCATCTATTACAGGTTCAATCTATTTGGCACGTTTCAACATGTTCTATTTGTTTGAGTAATGCATATCGATAATTGTCTTAGTTGTGTTGGTGTGCGCGGCTGGTTTTTCCTGACTTTTCTGTAGCCCCACTTGCAACTGTGCCACAGAGATAGTCCATTGTGATTTGTCTTTCTTGGACAGGCACCAACCAGGACAACGAGAAAAAGCATATTTTCTTGGAATGAAGGTTCAAGGCAGTTGGTGCCTTTTGTCACCCTTCGACTGCCCAATCAGAGCTACTTGGGGCTCCTCTCGGAGCAACCCGTGAACAGAGCACTTGAAGATTTCCTAAAGCCAGTCACTTTGTTTGGTGACTGAAAGTTCTTGGAGTCCGTTGAACACACAACATGCACATTCACAAAAGTTCAGAGGTTCAGAGATCCGCAAAACCTGCACTCAAGCTACCCAAAGGCTGATCTCTTCCGTCACGGCACACGCCGTCGCGAGATGTCTCGATGTTCGCTGACGGAGGCCAAAGCGCTGGAGACAAAGGAGACTCCGGAGGAAGAGGAAGAGGACCAACGCGAGTTTTTGGAGAACGTGTCAATCCTAGGACGCTTGTTGATTGTGTGTTTTGTTCACGTGTTGTTTCTTCATATGGCAAAACGGCCGAATGGCCGTTTGGCTCAAGATTTGGTTCCCCCGTCGGGATTCCCTCGGATTTGCGTGCGCTCGCCATAGTGCGGCGATTGGCCGTGCCATTGCGGAAAAGGTCCGTGGTGTCCCTGCTGATCGGCACTAGGAGGTGGGCGGCAGGTCGCCGAGGTGCTCCCGGGCCCGATCCCTATCTTTACCTTCTTTCAACCTGTTTTCCAACCTCCCCAAACTTGATCTTCATTAACTGTCACTCCCACAATCTGGTCACCGGCACCTTCTACATTGTGCTTTGGGACTGGGTTCTTTTGGTACTTCGTGAACTACGTGTACCTCTTTGATTCCCTGGGCTACTTCGTGTTCGCCCAAAACCGCAGGTTATCAGCCGTACCAGCTAGAAGCTGGGGCTGGTGATCCGGTTGCGGGACGTGACCCGCTACCTGCTCCCATCGCCTACTTGTACGAGCAATGGCGTCCCCCGGAGCTTCTCATCGTGGGCCGGGCTTCGTGGACGACGAGGCCAACGCCCTTCGCGGCAACGCCGCGCCTGCTGCCCCCGGCTTAGACAGCCGGCTGTGGCCCATTCCCCCGATGGTGGGCGCAGAGCCCAATCCCGGGGTGATCACGGACGATTGGATCCTTTCTCAGGTCGTGTTTGATGAGGATGCGGAGGCCCCTATCCCGGCGGCAGTGCTCCAGATCGAGGACGGACCCCCTCTAGAAGAGGCTGAGGTTCCTCCAAATCAGGTGCCCTCATCGATTTCGCCTACTGTTCCGTTCGTGGCGCTCCAGATCGAGGACCGGGCTGTCCATCATGCTGCTCATCCGGAGCCGGCTCAATCATGGTCCCTTACATGGGATCAGTTTGACCAGCTCCTCGGCAGTGGATCGCAGGCTACACCGCCTGATTTCGGTCGGCTCGACTTTAACTCGGGTGCCCCCATATCGGTTGGGAATCTGGATTTTCAATCCCTTTTTGATGCTGATTGGAGGTCTCAGCCTTCCCGAATTGACAGATCTTTTGATGCCCTGCCTACGCATGAGCCTACTCAGGGTTTTCCTCATGATGGAGAAAATGACCCCATTGAAGATTTCTCCCCTTCTCATGTTGCAGGTTCGGCCCAACCCGAGGTGGGCAAACGGGCGATTGAGGATTGGCCGCAAATAGCTGGCCTTCCTCCCGTCTCAGGTTCATCCGACATTGACATCATTCACGATCACCCCAGTCCGGCGGATATGGACTTCATCCCTGATGCAGTATCATCTCACCTGTCAGGTACCCGCGACCGGAATGCGGACCGCTACAACGCTGGTCCGAATCCACCGCTTTCCTCAGGTACCCGAGGTCGGGATGCGAACCGCTACAACGCGGGCTCAAATCCGCCAAATCGGGCATCAGGTACTAATCGATCGGACGCGGGCCGCGAAACAGCAGGCCCAAATCCTTCCTCCACTTCGTCAAGAAGCCATGCCGGTCTCTTCGCGGCGTTCAATCGGCGTCAGACTCGAAAAGAGTCCGCCCCCGACGTCATCGACCTCGAGGAGCAGTCCAGCCACCGTACCAGCGATGGATCCGAGCAGGATACACCTGGTATTGGCTCTACTCCCTTCGACCTCCTCGACATCCCCTTCCATCAGCCACCCAGGAGAGGAAATGAAGATGATGAAACCATCCCTGGGATCCTTGATGTAATCGATGAGGCCGAGGTCACACCAGAGAGACGAACGACATCGCTCCCGCCGAGCCGCGTTGCCAAAGTACTTTCCCCTAAGCCACTCAATGGTGACGTTGCTCAACGGCTTGATCTCACTCAACCTGATCCAGATCAAGCTCAACTTCGCGGATCATCATCGTTTGATAACGTGTCGGGACAAACCGGCACTGACTCACGAGCCACAAAGAGGAGCTCTGAGTCACCCGAGAGACGTGAAGCTGCTCTGCGATTGCGATCTAATCCCCCAGCTCATCACGATCCTATTGACGTTCCTATCCACTCTGCGGGGTCTGGGCTCAGCTCCAATGCCCCGATGTCTGAGAAGGGGACTGATGACGGGATTAACTCTACGCCCAGGAACCGGAGACCTGGACTTAGCACTGTTGCTCCTGGACATGGAGGGCTTCCTTCAAATCAACCGGTCAACAACTCCCTCGTCCCCGCATTCTTTCAAATCGGAACTCCGGGCTGCACTCCCGACAGGGAAGAAAATAGGCGCGGAGATCATGACGCTGATAGTCGTCCTGCTCCGTCTGCTTCCACAAGTGGCGGCCATCCTGTTGCATCTGAGCTTCAACGACTGCTTCTCGCGATCCACAACGAGGTCAAGGGGTGCAAGGCCGAAATCCAGGGATGCAGAACTGAGATTCGTTCATGTAGGGATGATATCAACGCTTGCGTCGGTGAGATCAAGAAGATCAATAACCGTGTTGACGCCTTCGAGAAGAAGGTTGAATCATCTTTCTCTGCCGTTGCCGGAACTCTCTCAAAACACGAGGCCAAGTTCCGTGATTTCCACGAGTGGGTCGCCCGAAGCGAGAAGGAGATGAATGAGCGTTTCAAGATGTATGATGAGAGGTCTGACTCGATCGTCATATCCGCTGCTGAACTTCGCGAGCAGGCCGAATCACTTGAGAACGTCAAGGTCCAGCTCCTTAGGTTCTCTGAGATCGGGGCCCTTGAGGCTGAGGTTCGGAAAATCAAGGACGAAGTTGAGGCGAACTCTCGCAGTGTCATCGACATTGAGGGAACCATCTCAAGGGAAAGAACCATCCGTGGGAACGTCGAGACGTATATCCAGCAGCTCGTTCCTGCGACCGACCTGAAGCAGTTCAGTGATAGGATGTCCGGAGCCCTCAATGAGAACTCACAGAAACAGGAAGAGTTCAAGCTTCAATTGTCCCGTATTGCTAGGTGCGTCAAGGACCTTCATGACAAAAGCTTAGGCCCCAATCCGAGGGACATGCAAGAGCAGTTTATGAAGCTTGTGCTGAGGGTCAATGAGATCAACATGCAGATCGCTGAGTTGAGGGAGCAACCTCTTGCTGCCTGCGGATCTTCAAGTGCTGGCGCTGCTTCGACCGCCGGAACGGGATCATGGGAGAAATCTGGAGACACTGATCCCTTAACCCAGGGAAGGGCTCCTAGAGGTTCTCCTCCTCGTGATGCTCGCACCGTCAGCTCGGCGAGGCCTCCTCCACCTCCACCTCCTTCGGGGCCACCCCCACCGTCACCATCAGCCCCCATCTTCGGCAGGGATCCCTCTAGAACGAGGGCCATTGCTCGGGCTGCCGGCGCTGCCCCTGATAACCGGGCCAGGTGTGCTCATGAGGAGCCCGGGCATCCACAGCATCGGGAACCTCGCTATCCATGCCGAAGCTGCGGCAAGTCAGTCTGCGAAGACTGCTTTGACCATGATTGTAACTCGTGTTTCAAGTGCAGCGATCAGTTTCCTAGATGCCGCGCATGCAGGGGAAGAGGGGGGAGACACGGACTTGTGAGGTGTCTCATATGCAAGGACGAGTACTGCGATCAACACATCGCTTCACCTGACGATGTGCGCCGTTTTGGGTCGAATGTTCGACCTATTTGCCTCGGTTGTCTGAGAGCTGATCCCGACGGGAAAACTAAGCATCGCGGTCCCAGTGCGGGGCCTGGAGGACCTGATTGCATTCCTGATCATAATCAGCGGGATGGCACTGCTCCTGATCCTGGATCCGGGCCATCGCGTGGAGATCCGTCACATCGGAGTCCTGAACCGCACCAAGGGAACTCTGGTTTCTGTTCCCACGCCGGAGCTGCCGGGCCAATGCCACCAAGGGCAATGTCTTCGCCCGTAGTCGGGCGAGCAGTTCCGAGGGGGACCATCAACACGTATCCCGGTGTTCCCCTACAGGGGGGATTTTCACCGGTCAGGTTGAGCATGGAACGTCTCAGGGAGTCATTCGCGGGAGGTACGGACCTGACGCTGCTGTGACAAATCAGCAGAATCCACAGCCTCACCACGGAGTACAGGATAACTCTGGCGGGCCAACTGGTTTTCTCTCTTCCACCAGGACTCGGTAAGGGTGTGCATGGCGCCGGTGGCGTCGGCGGTATTGGAGCTCCCGATCTTCGCCGATCTTCCGCTGAGGAGAGGGTCTGCCCTCGATGCAACATAAATGTCAAGACCAGCATCCCCGGGACACCTCCATGCTTCCAAACTTGTTCGTTGTGCCGCACTTCTCTGTGTGCCGCGTGCTGCCCGCCATCGTCCGGGAGTTGCTCTCTTTGTGCCATATCCATTGGCAGAGACGGCGTTCTACCTCCCCACGTTTTTGGGCAGGCTACTCGACCGCCCTTAACTTCGTTGCCATCTGAGGCGAACAAGTGCGCCAACATAGAGCTCGAAAAAGAGCCTGCACCGCATGAGTTGCGAGACTGGATCATTTCCACGAGAGAAATCGTGAGCAACGCATTCAGCTATGACTCGCCATATGCCATGTCTTGGGTCATGAGTGTCGAGAACGCCAGCGCAATAGAGGAACTTGATGAGGAGTGCCTCTACCCGATCCTTGACAATAGGTTCAATGCTGCACTGAGAAAGTGCATCACATCGAAACCTATAGTTGCCAAGATCAGCAGGCTGACTGAAGAGGCTCAGGTAAAAAGGGGAACGAGGCTGAAAAGCCGCCAGATCCTGTTCTGTCTAATTGAGTACCTTCGTCCCGATGAAGTCGGGAGCCAGTCTATCCGTACGAATGAACTTCTTCGCCTATCCCTCGGCAGAGCTGCCGGGTCTGGCGAGCCTCAGCTTGAGAAATTCCTTGATAAATGGGAAGGACTCCTGGGCGGAATCACCGCACCGATTGATCACCACGTTCTTCAGCATGTTTTCTTTGAACAAGTTCGACATTCACCATGCTTGATGCCTGACGTGCAACACTG